GATCATTGTCCTGGAGCTGCAGCTCACCCTGTCTGGCTGATGATACCCTATGTGTGTTCCCAGGTAAAGCCTCAGTTCTCCAGTAAGGATCTCAGTGCATTGACCACATGTAGTGTAAAGATTGGTGAGGAAAGAGATAACCAGCCTGTGGAGCTGTGGTAACTGTATGTGGCACTACAGCCTGCTGCTAGCTGGATTCAGCAGCCCACCCACGGAAGGCTCCACTACAAACACACACACATTCACACGCACGCACACAAACACACACATACACGTGCCCACACACACACATACACACGCACGCACGCAAACACATACAATCAGGCACATAAACAAGCAGGTGCCCACGCACGAACAGTGCTTGCACACACACACACACACACACACACACACACACACACACAAACACCACAGTTCAAGCTAATACCCCGCCTACTGGGCGATTCCACGCCAGCATGGCCCAAAGAATATTTTTAGTAACTCACATTTCAGTTGAATGCATTCAGTTGTGCAACTGACTAGGTATCCCATTTCCCTTTCCATGCAAATTTTATTGGGAGGAAGGATGTTTAACATGCTTTTTACATTTGTATCATAAATAATTTTTTAGAAAATCATGATGAAAGTGGCCATTTTAGGCCCTTTTTAGACCTATGCATGCCTCCTGTCATGCCTCCTGTAAGACCCTATGATCCGTGAGCCGTGCATAGTACAGACAACATCTTGGTGTCATTATACATCTTGGTGTCATTATACATCTTGGTGTCATTATAGTCATTATAGTGTGCTCTAAAATATGGAGTATGGCTATATTCTGAAATAGAATTTTCACATAAATTGATTCAACATTAAATACATCATTATTATTAATATCTCTAAAGTGCCCTTTTAGATTTGTGCTTTTTGTTAGACATATTGTTTGTAACAATATACTATTCAAACATCTCACATTTCCAAGTGGGCTCTCTGATACTTTTGAAGAAATTATCAATTTTATACATAGACATTTATATTATAGGCCATTAACCAATCACAGCCCTCCAGTAGGATCGTTTGTTCAGCAAATGATTAGTGCTATCCGGGGTCCCACTCTCCCAAGTGGACATTCTCTCTTTTCCCCCTGACCCATCTGTCTATCTCCTCATTTGAATTCCATGCTGTCACAGTCACTAGCCCATTCAAGCTTAACATCCTTATCATTTATCGCCCTCCAGGTTCCCTTGGAGAGTTCATCAATGAGCTTGACGCCTTGATAAGTTCCTTTCCTGAGGATGGCTCACCCCTCACAGTTCTGGGTGACTTTAACCTCTCTACGTCTTCCTTTGACTCATTTCTCTCTGCCTCCTTCTTTCCACTCCTTTCCTCTTTTGACCTACCCTCTCACCGTCCCCCCCTACTCACAAGGCAGGCAATACGCTTGACCTCATCTTTACTAGATGCTGTTCTTCTACTAATCTCACTGCAACTCCCCTCCAAGTCTCCGACCACTACTTTGAATACTTTTCTCTCTCGCTCTCCACCAACACTACTCACTCTACCCCTACTCAGATGGTAATGTGCTGTCGCAACCTTCACTCTCTCTCTCTCCCGCTACTCTCTCCTCTTCCATCCTATCATCTCTTCCCTCTGCTAAATCCTTCTCCCTCCGATCTCCTGATTCTGCCTCCTCAACCCTCCTCTCCTCCCTTTCTGCATCATTTGACTCTCTATGTCCCCTATCCTCCCGGCCGGCTCGGTCCTCCCCTCCTGCTCCGTGGCTTGACGACTCATTGTGAGCTCACAGAACAGGGCTCCGGGCAGCCGAGTGGAAATGGAGGAAAACTAGACTCCCTGCGGACCTGTCATCTTTTCACTCCCTCCTCTCTACATTCTCTTCCTCTGTTTCTGCTGCTAAAGCCACTTTCTACCACTCTAAATTTGCCTCTAACCCTAGGAAGCTCTTTGCCACCTTCTCCTCCATGCTGAATCCTCCTCCTCCTCCCCCTCCCTCCTCCCTCTCTGTGGATGACTACGTCAACCATTTTGAAAAGAAAGTTGACGACATCCAATCCTCATTTATTAAGTCAAATGAGCGTGCCGTCTCTAGCCAACTCTCCTGCTATCTCTCTCAGAATGACCTTCTTGATCCAATCCAGTCAGGTTTCAAGACTGGTCATTCAACTGAGACTGCTCTTCTCTGTGTCACGGAGGCTCTCCGCACTGCTAAAGCTAACTCTTTCTCTTCTACTCTTATCCTTCTAGACCTATCTGCTGCCTTTGATACTGTGAACCATCAGATCCTCCTCTCCACCCTCTCCGAGTTGGGCATCTCCGGCGCTGCTCACTCTTGGATTGCGTCCTACCTGACAGGTCGCTCCTACCAGGTGGCATGGCGAGAATCTGTCCCCGCACCATGTGCTCTCACCACTGGTGTCCCCCAGGGCTCAGTTCTAGGCCCTCTCCTATTCTCTCTATACACCAAGTCACTTGGCTCTGTCATATCCTCACATGGTCTCTCCTATCATTGCTACGCAGACGACACACAATTAATTTTCTCCTTTCACCCCTTCTGATAACCAGGTGGCGAATCGCATCTCTGCATGTCTGGCAGACATATCAGTGTGGATGTCGGATCACCACCTCAAGCTGAACCTTGGCAAGACGGAGCTGCTCTTCCTTCCGGGGAAGGACTGCCCGCTCCATGATCTCGCCATCTCGGTTGACAACTCCATAGTGTCCTCCTCCCAGAGTGCAAAGAACCTTGGCGTGACCCTGGACAACACACTGTCGTTCTCCGCTAACATCAAAGCGGTGATCCGATCCTGCAGGTTCATGCTCTACAACATTCGCAGAGTACGACCCTACTTTACACAAAAAGTGGCACAGGTCCTAATCCAGACACGTGTCATCTCCCGTCTGGATTATTGCAACTCGCTGTTGGCTGGGCTCCCTGCCTGTGCCATTAAACCCCTACAACTTATCCAGAACGCTGCAGCCCGTCTGGTGTTCAACCTTCCCAAGTTCTCTCATGTCATCCGCTCCTCCGCACACTCCACTGGCTTCCAGTTGAGGCTCGCATCTGCTACAAAACCATGGTGCTTGCCTACAGAGCTGTGAGGGGAACGGCACCTCCTTACCTTCAGGCTCTGATCAGACCCTACACCCAAACGAGGGCACTACATTCATCCACCTCTGGCCTGCTAGTCCCCCTACCTCTACAGAAGCATAGTTCCCACTCAGCCCAGTCAAAACTATTCGCTGCTCTGGCACCCCAATGGTGGAACAAGCTCCCCCACGACGGCAGGACAGCGGAGTCACTGACCACCTTCCGGAGACACTTGAAACCCTACCTCTTTAAGGAATACCTGGAATAGTATAAAAGTAATCCTTCTACCCCCACCCTCCCCCCCTCCCCCCATTAAAAAAAGATATATATAAAAGAGTGCTTGTCCCACTGGCTATCATAAGTTGAATGCAACAATTTGTAAGTCACTCTGGATAAGAGTGGCTGCTAAATGATGTAAATGTAAATGTAAAATGTAAATGTCCTTGGGACGTCCCTGCCCTAAACCCTAAACCCTAAATGTTAAACCCTACTCTTACCCTTACCCTAACCTTAACCCGTACCTAACCCTAACCCTAACCCTAACCCTAACCCTAACCTTAACCCTTACCTTAACCGTTTTAACTTTCTACTTAATGGTGTGACGGCAGAGTCGGATGTCCCAAGGATCCCTGCTAGCACTACCCTTCAGCAAATCACCAGCAGAGGGAGTTCCCGAATCCGTTTTCCCAATCACTGTGTTGGTGGTGCTCATAACATGTATCATCTCATTACTTTAAAAGTAGCAGAGAGCCCACTCTGGAAATTTGATTAACATTTAAAAAATATGTTGAAAAATTTATGAAATCAAAAGGCTACTTTCCAGATATTAATATTAATAGTTTTAATGTTCAATAAATTTAGAGGCATCATGCCCATAGGGGACACAGGGGCACGTGCCCCCTCAGATTTATCTGGTGAAATGTTTTGTTGTTGTAATACTACTAGCTACCTAGCAATTTTATGAATTTGGCTTTAGCTAGCCCAGATAGATTCCCAATCTCCCAACCTCATAACTAGCTACCAAGAAGCCATTTCAGTCTCTTTAAAAAAATAACCACCAGTCAGGAGGATACAGACAGATCAAGGCAAGGGCGGAATTGTGGTGTAGATATTGGTGGGGATGAACAGTAGATGGGGGTTCCGGGGGGTCCTCCCCTGTAAATTTGTTTGACATTTTAAAACACATTTCCTGCAATTCTACACAGTTTGACAAAATGGCCACTTTCATCTTGATTGTAAAAAGCATATCAAACATCCGTCCTCCCAATTAAGTTTCTATATGAGAATTGCCAGAACAATCTGAGAAAACAAAAATATTTTCGGTCTATGCTGGCATGGAATCCCCCTATTTGCTCTTTTTATATTCTACTGCCACTAGCCCTCAGAAGAACAACAAATTCTGCATAAAATATGGGGCAGATATCTATAATAGTAATAATATTATGTGTACAAGCCCCAATCCACAAAAATCTGACTGCTATTCGAACTGAATGTTAAATCAGACAGAAGTTGATTTACAGTGAAGTTTATCCCTCCTAGTGGCTGTCATTTTAGTCATTAGATCACACTAAAGCTGTCATGCAAAAGGGTGTCTAATCAGAAAGCCACGGAAATAAACCTTGCCTGTGTAGGAGCAGAGCAGTTGAGGAAAGACATTGCACAACACCAAACAACGTAGAGGAAACCATCTCTCTCTCTCTCTCTCTTACTCTCTATTTCTCTCTCATCATCCCTCACTCTCTCTATTTCTCTCTCATCATCTCTCTATTTCTCTCTCATCCTCTCTCTCTCTCTCTCTCTCTCTCTCTCTCTCTCTCTCTCTCTCTCTCTCTCTCTCTCTCTCTCTCTCTCTCTCTCTCTCTCTCTCTCTCTCTCTCATCACAGGAAAGAGAGGTTTAATGATCTGTGCCATATCTCATGGGAGCAGTGACCCCTACAGAGAACAGGGGAGATATTCTGTGTTTGCGTGTGCATGTGTGTGTGTAATGTTCATATGACAGAGTGGAGGGATTAACATTTAAACTATAATTCATAGCCATTGACACAAGGATCAGGCACACGCACAGTAATGAATGACATTACTAATTGTCATAATTCGTTTCCATCAATCTCTAAGCCCATGCAGAACATGATAGATGGATACATTTTAAAATGTTAAGACAATATTGACTAGTGTTCCCCCAGGATGCATCCATTGCAGTGAAATGTATCATCAGCAGCGCATCCAGTCAATCTTTACCCATGTGACGAATCAACAGGATATTTTTTATCATAATTGCCCCCTTGCTAATAATAGCATCATTTTCAGGATTGGGGTGAATTCCATTTCAATTCAGTGAATCAGTTTACTTCTTGAATTGACTGAATTCAAATGGAATTGACCCTAACCCTGATTACTATGGGCCTGTACCAAAACAATGTACTAGTGGTATAATAAAAACATTGTAGCTGGTATAATATAACCCCCTCTTCTGTACAGTAGATTGACTGCTGATTGGTGTGGTCCTCTGTAGCTCAGCTGGTAGAGCACGGCGCTTGTAACGCCAGGGTAGTGGGTTCGATCCCCGGGACCACCCATACACAAAAATTTATGCACGCATGACTGTAAGTCGCTTTGGATAAAAGTGTCTGCTAAATGGCATATTAATTGGTGATTTGTGTTTTCTCACCTGTTTGTATACAGCACAGATGTGTAGAGCCGTGTTTCCAGAGGCGTTCTGGACACCCATATCTGCTCCGTAGAACAACAGGTGCTCCAAGTGCTGGACGTGTCCATACCTACATGCCTGCCACACAAACACAGAGACCAGGTCAAATCATGTCCATACCTACAGGTCTGCCACACAAACACAGAGACCAGGTCAAATCATGTCCATACCTACAGGTCTGCCACACAAACACAGACACCAGGTCAAATCATGTCCATACCGACATGCCTGCCACACAAACACAGAGACCAGGTCAAATCATGTCCATATCTACAGGTCTGCCACACAAACACAGAGACCAGGTCAAATAATGTCCATACCGACATGCCTGCCACACAAACACAGAGACCAGGTCAAATCATGTCCATATCTACAGGTCTGCCACACAAACACAGACACCAGGTCAAATCATGTCCATACCTACAGGTCTGCCACACAAACACAGACACCAGGTCAAATCATGTCCATATCTACAGGTCTGCCACACAAACACAGACACCAGGTCAAATCATGTCCATACCTACAGGTCTGCCACACAAACACAGACACCAGGTCAAATCATGTCCATATCTACAGGTCTGCCACACAAACACAGACACCAGGTCAAATCATGTCCATATCTACAGGTCTGCCACACAAACACAGAGACCAGGTCAAATCATGTCCATATCTACAGGTCTGCCATACAAACACAGAGACCAGGTCAAATCATGTCCATATCTACAGGTCTGCCACACAAACACAGACACCAGGTCAAATCATGTCCACACCTACAGGTCTGCCATACAAACACAGAGACTAGGTCAAATCATGTCCATATCTACAGGTCTGCCACACAAACACAGAGACCAGGTCAAATCATGTCCATATCTACAGGTCTGCCACACAAACACAGAGACCAGGTCAAATAATGTCCATATCTACAGGTCTGCCACACAAACACAGAGACCAGGTCAAATAATGTCCATACCTACAGGTCTGCCACACAAACACAGAGACCAGGTCAAATAATGTCCATATCTACAGGTCTGCCACACAAACACAGAGACCAGGTCAAATAATGTCCATATCTACAGGTCTGCCACACAAACACAGAGACCAGGTCAAATCATGTCCATACCTACAGGTCTGCCACACAAACACAGAGACCAGGTCAAATCATGTCCACACCTACAGGTCTGCCACACAAACACAGAGACCAGGTCAAATAATGTCCACACCTACAGGTCTGCCATACAAACACAGAGACCAGGTCAAATCATGTCCATATCTACAGGTCTGCCACACAAACACAGACACCAGGTCAAATAATGTCCACACCTACAGGTCTGCCATACAAACACAGACACCAGGTCAAATAATGTCCATACCTACAGGTCTGCCACACAAACACAGAGACCAGGTCAAATCATGTCCACACCTACAGGTCTGCCACACTAACACAGAGACCAGGTCAAATCATGTCCATATCTACAGGTCTGCCACACAAACACAGAGACCAGGTCAAATAATGTCCATATCTACAGGTCTGCCACACAAACACAGAGACCAGGTCAAATCATGTCCATACCTACAGGTCTGCCACACAAACACAGAGACCAGGTCAAATCATGTCCACACCTACAGGTCTGCCACACAAACACAGAGACCAGGTCAAATAATGTCCACACCTACAGGTCTGCCATACAAACACAGAGACCAGGTCAAATCATGTCCATATCTACAGGTCTGCCACACAAACACAGACACCAGGTCAAATAATGTCCACACCTACAGGTCTGCCATACAAACACAGACACCAGGTCAAATAATGTCCATACCTACAGGTCTGCCACACAAACACAGAGACCAGGTCAAATCATGTCCACACCTACAGGTCTGCCACACTAACACAGAGACCAGGTCAAATCATGTCCATATCTACAGGTCTGCCACACAAACACAGAGACCAGGTCAAATCATGTCCATACCTACAGGTCTGCCACACAAACACAGAGACCAGGTCAAATAATGTCCATACCTACAGGTCTGCCACACAAACACAGAGACCAGGTCAAATAATGTCCATACCTACAGGTCTGCCACACAAACACAGAGACCAGGTCAAATAATGTCCACACCTACAGGTCTGCCACACAAACACAGAGACCAGGTCAAATCATGTCCATACCTACAGGTCTGCCACACTAACACAAAGACCAGGTCAAATAATGTCCATACCTACAGGTCTGCCACACAAACACAGAGACCAGGTCAAATAATGTCCATACCGACAGGTCTGCCACACAAACACAGAGACCAGGTCAAATCATGTCCATATCTACAGGTCTGCCACACAAACACAGACACCAGGTCAAATCATGTCCATATCTACAGGTCTGCCACACAAACACAGAGACCAGGTCAAATAATGTCCACACCTACAGGTCTGCCACACAAACACAAAAATATAAACAATTACCAGGTCAAAAGAAAATGAAACAGTCTACACAGTAGCCTAGCTATCATAAGGCATACCGGGACTATCATAGAAAATAACCATAGAGGAGTCGGTAGACTAGAGATATTCTAAACTGTTTTGTCTTGTTCTGCACACTAGATGTCAGTCAGAGTACCATCTGAGCGGAGCTATCTTACTGTTGTTTTGCTGCTGATGGTCTAGCCAAGTTTGCTTCTCAACCAAAGCAATTCATAAAGTCCATATAATTTCAATGGCTTGGCTAATTTGCTTTAGTACCGTCCCAGGCGCTGTAACTTGAGACTCCCAACTAAACCAGTATGTGGAACATTTGTATGCTCTGGGATTCAAACCAGAGACCTTTCGGTTACTAGCCCAAAGTTCTTAAGCACTAGGCTACCTCTATATAAATCCAATCAATTACTACACCTGGTGTATCTCGTGCCAGCTGTTCTCGTCGTGGCAGGAGATGGTGGCGTGGGCCCTCAGTAGCATCTCACAGCAGCTTGGGTCTCCCTCCACCAGGACTGTGTGGTAGAGGGGGGTCAGACTCTGGCTGTCCTTGTAGTCTGGAGATGCACCCAGGTCCAGTAGAGCCTGAGGGGGGCGATTTAGGTTTAAAGAGACGTTGCCGCTAGATGCTGATCTTAGGTCAGTTTCACATTTTTTCCACTAATGGTTAAAGTTAGGTTTGAGGGAGGGGAAGCTGATCCATCCTAGATCTGTACATAGGATACACTTCAGACCTGAGCTACACTTTATTTAAAGTAACTGTTCAATGTTTCCAGATTTCTATGAAATATGACCTATAATTAATTACAATATGAGCGAAATAGTTTTAAGCAAGTTAAATAGCAGTTTTTCTGTGTTGGAATGGTGTGGGCTTACCCCAACAACAGAATGGTGTGGGTGTATACTGGTCATTAAAAACATTCATGCAAGTAGACCGCTGATTGGCCAGCTCATCCTCCTCAGGACAATGACATCATCCTCTATGAGGAAATAGCAAAAACAATTTAAACGGTCTGTTTAAGATACAAGTTTGAGGTGGGGATTTTGAATAGTTTTTTTCTCCAATTTATGCACTGAGCAAAAATATAAACACAACATGCAACAATTTCAAGGAGTTACAGTTAATATTAGGAAATCAGTCAATTTAAATAAATTCATTAGGCCCTAATGTATGGATTTCACATGACTGGGGATACAGATATGCATCTGTTTTTAAGATACTTTAAAAAACTAAAGGTAGTGGCACGGACCAAAAAAAACAGTCAGTATCTGGTGTGACCACCATTTGCCTCATGCAGCGCAACACATCTCCTTCGCATATACAGTGGGGAAAAAAAGTATTTAGTCAGCCACCAATTGTGCAAGTTCTCCCACTTAAAAAGATGAGAGAGGCCTGTCATTTTCATCATAGGTACACGTCAACTATGACAGAAAAAATGAGAAAAAAAATCGAGAAAATCACATTGTATGATTTTTTAATGAATTTATTTGCAAATTGTGGTGGAAAATAAGTATTTGGTCAATAACAAAAAGTTTCTCAATACTTTGTTATATACCCTTTGTTGGCAATGACACAGGTCAAACGTTTTCTGTAAGTCTTCACAAGGTTTTCACACACTGTTGCTGGTATTTTGGCCCATTCCTCCATGCAGATCTCCTCTAGAGCAGTGATGTTTTGGGGCTGTCGCTGGGCAACACGGACTTTCAACTCCCTCCAAAGATTTTCTATGGGGTTGAGATCTGGAGACTGGCTAGGCCACTCCAGGACCTTGAAATGCTTCTTACGAAGCCACTCCTTCGTTGCCCGGGCGGTGTGTTTGGGATCATTGTCATGCTGAAAGACCCAGCCACGTTTCATCTTCAATGCCCTTGCTGATGGAAGGAGGTTTTCACTCAAAATCTCACGATACATGGCCCCATTCATTCTTTCCTTTACACGGATCAGTCATCCTGGTCCCTTTGCAGAAAAACAGCCCCAAAGCATGATGTTTCCACCCCCATGCTTCACAGTAGGTATGGTGTTCTTTGGATGCAACTCAGCATTCTTTGTCCTCCAAACACAACGAGTTGAGTTTTTACCAAAAAGTTATATTTTGGTTTCATCTGACCATATGACATTCTCCCAATCCTTTTCTGGATCATCCAAATGCACTCTAGCAAACTTCAGACGGGCCTGGACATGTACTGGCTTAAGCAGGGGGACACTTCTTGCACTGCAGGATTTGAGTCCCTGGCGGCGTAGTGTGTTACTGATGGTAGGCTTTGTTACTTTGGTCCCAGCTCTCTGCAGGTCATTCACTAGGTCCCCCCGTGTGGTTCTGGGATTTTTGCTCACCATTCTTGTGATCATTTTGACCCCACGGGGTGAGATCTTGCGTGGAGCCCCAGATCGAGGGAGATTATCAGTGGTCTTGTATGTCTTCCATTTCCTAATAATTGCTCCCACAGTTGATTTTTTCAAATCAAGCTGCTTACCTATTGCAGATTCAGTCTTCCCAGCCTGGTGCAGGTCTACAATTTTGTTTCTGGTGTCCCTTGACAGCTCTTTGGTCTTGGCCATAGTGGAGTTTGGAGTGTGACTGTTTGAGGTTGTGGACAGGTGTCTTTTATACTGATAACAAGTTCAAACAGGTGCCATTAATACAGGTAACGAGTGGAGGACAGAGGAGCCTCTTAAAGAAGAAGTTACAGGTCTGTGAGAGCCAGAAATCTTGCTTGTTTGTAGGTGACCAAATACTTATTTTCCACCATAATTTGCAAATAAATTCATAAAAAATTCTACAATGTGATTTTCTGGATTTTTTTTTCCTCAATTTGTCTGTCATAGTTGACGTGTAACTATGATGAAAATTACAGGCCTCTCTCATCTTTTTAAGTGGGAGAACTTGGACAATTGGTGGCTGACTAAATACTTTTCTTCCCCACTGTAGTTGATCAGGCTGTTGATTGTGGCCTATGGAATGTTGTCCCACTCCTCTTCAATGGCTGTGCAAAGTTTCTGGATATTGGCGGGAACTGGATTATGCTGTCGTACACGTCGATCCAGAGCATCCCAAAAATGCTCAATGGGTGACTTGTCTGGTGAGTATGCAGGCCATGGAAGAACTGGGACATTTTCAGCTTCCAGGAGTTGTGTATAGATCTTTGGCGACATGGGGCCATGCATTATCATGCTGAAACATGAGGTGATGGCGGCGGATGAATGGCATGACAATGGGCCTCAGGATCTCGTCACGGTATCTCTGTGCATTCAAATTTCCATAGATAAAATGCAATTGTGTTCATGGTCTGTAGCTTATGCCTGCCCATACCATAACCCCACCGCCACCATGGGGCACTCTGTTCACAACTTTGACATCAGCAAACCGCTCGCCCAACACGACGCCATTCACGCTGTCTGCCATCTGCCCGGTACAGTTGAAACCAGGATTAATCAGTGAAGAGCACACTTCTCCAGCATGCCAGTGGAGAAGCGTGAGGATGACGAGTACACAGATGAGCTTCCCTGAGACGGTTTCTGTGCAGAAATTCTTCGGTTGTGCAAACCCACAGTTTCATCAGCTGTCTGGGTGACTGGTCTCATACGATCCCGCAGGTGAAAAAGCCAGATGTGGAGGTCCTGGGCTGGCGTGGTTACATGTGGTCTGCGGTTGTGAGGCCAGTTGGACGTACTGCCAAATTCTCTAAAATGACGTTGGTAGAGAAATAAACATTCAATTCTCTGGCAACAGCTCTTGTGGACATTCCTGCAGTCAGCATTCCAATTGCACGCTCCCTGAAAACTTGAGTCATGTGTGGCATTGTGTTATGTGATAAAACTTCACATTTTAGAGTGGCCTTTTATTTTCCCCAGCACAAGGTGCACCTGTGTAATGATCATGCTGTTTAATCAGCTTCATGCTGTTTAATCAGCCACACCTGTGGATGGATTATCTTGGCAAAGTAGAAATGCTCACTAACAGGCATGTAAACAAATTAGTGCACAGAATTTGAGAGAAATAAACTTTTTGTGCGTATGGAACATTTCTGGGATCTTTCTTTTCAGCTCATGAAACACGGGACCAACACTTTACATGTTGCGTTTATATTTTTGTTCAGTGTAGTATAGGATTAGTATTTGATGAGTCAACAACATTATTTGGGTATGAGTTAACAGAACATTAACTTTTAAAAGTGAGATTTTCACTGGACAGTTACTTTAAAGCCTGCAGGTAGAATGCTTTATAACTTGTTATAAACATGTATGATCCTCTTTATTGCTTTACAATATTGTAGCGACCCTTTAGCTCTATTATGTGGGGGGCTCATGGGGAAATTATGGGGGAAGGAGTTGCCCCTAGTTCAAATAGCCACTAGGTATGGGGGGTTGAGGGTGATCTGAGTGAGAGCGAGACAGATCGAGACTGAGTGGAGAGTGATAACGTCTCCTCAGAGTTCCACTAAGTTATACAGTGAGCCAGACACGTTTATTGTTTTAGGACAATCATTCTAACCCTGTGTTAGCCTGTATTTCGAGGGCATTAAAACCTGGTTTACAGGTTCAGCTTGAGCTACAGTCTCCTCGTTCTTGTAGTTAGCTAGCTAGCTAAGGAGTGGACCTGCTAATGCCACACTGGTGCTCAGAAGTGGGATTAGCCAAGCCTCCATTCCCCTCGTGCTAGCTAGCTACTGGAGAGAAGACGCCATGACGGATACAATCGAGAAAACATTGGATCACTTTACAATCTTTACTCCTCCGGAGACGCCGAAGAAGTGGTCATCAGATGAAGCTCGTCGTGAAAAGAAAAGAGATCAGAAGACTTCCACAGAAACACACAGCTACTCTGCTAACCGAGTTACCTCAGGTATTGATGAAAGCACCGTTCCAGCTCACCCCGCGAGTCTCGTGGAGCAGCCGACGAACCAAAACAAACAAGATGGCAGCCCCCATGTTACCCATGCTGGCTGTGGCAACATGAAAGAAAAAGACAAACGCACGAAAAGGTGAGCAAAAACCTAATTGTATCTCAGAACTAGAGGGTAACAATGCAAGCAGAGTTGAAGAGGGTTTTATGCAGAGAATGGGCACGACGATGGAGAGGGCCTTTGGGCAGATCTTCAGAAGCCCCTGGAACAGTATGTTGGGGAGAGAGAGCCCCGGCATGGGCACTTTGCAGAATGTCTGGAAGGTAGAGAGCAGGATGCAATCACTGATGATGATGCCAATGCTTGTGATGCTAATGCTAACTATGTGGATGTAATGGGAAATGTTACTGTGAAGGCAAGCTCCATCCCCACCACCAATCCTGCTAACCGGATACCTGATGGTAATGCTTATGGCTACAGTGAAGAGAGTAATGCTAACTTTAGCCCTCTAGACCAGGCCTTGGAAGTAGCAATGTTAACAGATGCTCTTATTATGACAGAGAGGGTTACTGCAGTAGCCAGGCCACTGGAGTTAGCTAATGTAGAGCACAGCCCGGAGAGTTATGCTAACCCACGCAGCTGGCAGACAAGAGTTAGCCATGCTAGCAAACCCGAATGCACATTCCCTTATGATGACAGAGAGGCTTATCGCAGTAGTCACTGGAGTTAGCTATGCTAATGTTTACCCCAGCCAAGAGAGTTATGCACAAAGTAGCCATGCTTGCTACCCCAGATGCACAGATGAAGATGATGTTAGCTATGCTATGCCTCAAGCCCCAGTTAGGCATGCTAATGCTACCAGCCAGGCTGAGGATGTAGTGATCTCACTAGCAGCTGCTATCACTACTGCCCTGGCGAACTTTAAAGCCACTTTGGACCAGCCCTTGCCTTCTCCAGCTGTCCCACAGTGGCACTTGAAAATCGGCAGTTCCGATGGACTTCCAGCATGGGAGACCCAGTTTGAGCTTATAGCTGCTGCCAATCAGTGGTCACCAGCAGAGAGAGCAATGCAGCTAGCTTCAGCGTAGGAGGGAGAGGCTAGGAAAGCGCAACTAGATGTGACAGTGGCCAACCTGAATAACCCACAGGTAATAGCCAGGGCCTTGGAGAGGTGCATTGGGAACACCACACACCCTGCAGTGATGCAACAGAGGTTCAATGCAAGATGCCGAGCCCCTGGAGAGAAGCTGGGTGTGTTTGCAGCCAAACTACACTACCTAGCACAAAGATGTTACCCTGAGTTTGATGAAGCTACCAGATCAGTGTTAAGCAGAGATGCATTCAGCTCCACAACCCTCAGCCGCTGTAGGCAGCTCTAAAGCGGGCGCAGGAGGTGGAAGACATACTCATCAAAGGTTTTGGATGCTTCCCTAACCAAGTGATGACTCGCCCCCAGAATTGTGCCCTCCAACATCTTCCACCAACTTCCCTCAGCACGGCTCCAGTGCATCCACCTTCCTTTAACCTGATGTCTCCAGAGGAATGACAACAGATCTGCTACCGGCGTAGCCAGAGAGGCCACACATGGCGTTATTGTCTAGCCCCTGACTCCATCCTCTTGGCCAATACTTCAGGAAACGGCCCTGGTCCGGTGTAGAGAGGAGTGACCCGGGCCACCCTTCATCTCTCCTCAAATAATTGATAAACACCCTTCATCTTCCAGACCCCCTCCCCGTCTGTACACACCCTCCTTCCCATTAACTGCTGTCAAGTTCATGTTTGGGTTGAGGGCCACTACTGGACACAAGTTCCACAGTGACCCTTATCCATCCTGACCTTCTACCACCCAGTGACCTTCTGATCTTCTGCCAACCCCAAGCCACCGAACTTCCCTTGATCACAGTAACTGAAGTAAGAGCACCAATGCTTTACACATTCCGACACAGCTTTGCTGTCACCCCTAATGATGTAGGTTGAACCCACTGGGTGCAGCGATGACCTCATTGAATTGATGGCATCTACCGACACTATCGAACCGGCTGATAGTCCGTGGGCCTCCCCCGTAGTCATGGTCCTCAAAAAGGTTATCCTCCCTGGATCTACGGAGCGGATACTGGCAGGTACCGCTGGCCCCTGAAGACAAAGCGAAAACTGCCTTCACAACAGGACGAGGCATATGGAAGTTTACCACTATGCCGTTCGGCTTGTGCAATGCCCATGCCACCTTCAAGAGGCTAATGGAGAAGGTTCTCAAAGCTGTGCCCCAAGAACACTGTGTGGTGTATCTCAATGACCTACTGGTGCATGGGACAAGTCTGCGTTGGAAAACTTGAAGGAAGTTCTGGGCTGAATCCAAAGAGTTGGGCTGAAGCTTCATGCAGGAAAGTGCAGTTTCATGCAGAAAGAGGTTACCTTCCTCGGACACAGAGTCAGCCATGCAGGAATCATGAAGAAGTCGGATAAGGTAGTCGCTGTCAGGGATTGGCCTAAACCCGACAACATACACCACGCTACGGTCTTTCTTAGGGCTAGCCTCCTATTACAGACGTTTCATTGCTGGGTTCACCACTGTGGCCACCCCTTTGTACCATCTGTTGTGGAAGAATACCCCCTTCGAGTGGGGGCCGGAGTAAGAGACAGCCTTTAACACCCTGAAGCAGGCTTTATGTGAAGACCGTGTGCATCGCCCAAGATCCAGGGAAACCGTTCATCCTCGATACGGATGCCAGTAATGAAAGCCTCTGTGCGATTTTGTCACAGCTGACCCAGGAAAGAGAACGAGTTATTTCCTATTACAGTCACATCTTTGACAAGCCAGAGAATAACTATTGTGTAACACGCCGGGAGCTTCTAGAAGTCATCGAATTCAAGCATGTTCCTTTGAAGCCTTCCTTTCAATGTACAAACCGATCATGCTGCCTTAAGTGGCTCCAGAAGGACAAGTAGCTTGGTGCAATGAACAGCTCCAGGCAATACAATTCACCATCCAACACAGAGCCGGGGAAAGCCATACTAACGCTGATAGCCTGTCCCGGCGGCCATGTGCTCCTGAATGCCGCGACTGTGATCGAGCAGAAACCCGTAAGGCCATGAACCTGCAAGTTGAAGAGAGGAAGTGGGTCGGATCTCAGAATTTTGGGTCTGTTGGACCCGTGAAGACCTCTACATAGCCAGTCACACATTCCGGCAAATACGCTTGACTCAAAGTTCCTGCCTTGATTGGAATGGAGTACCGATGGCATCCCAAAGCACCTGGACATCTCTTGAAGCAAGGCCTCAGCCACAGTTGTTGCTTCTTGGTCAGGTATGGGGTACACTTCCGGATACTTCGTGAAGTAGTCGATGGCTACTAGCACAAACTGGTTTCCTCTGCAGGTCCATAGTAATGGCCCCAACACATCAACTGCCACTCTGTCCATGGGTGTCCCTACCTGGAAAGATTGCATGAGAGCAGAGGATTGATTTATGGGGACATTTACGGGCCGTACAGGTGTCACAGCGGCAAGTGTAGTCCTCAACATCCTGTCTGCTCTGACCCCAGTAGAACCTCTATCACAATTGCCTCAGGGTCTTTGTTACTCTCTTTATTACTCCAAAGTGGCCAATGCCCAGGGATCCATGATGTGCCTCCAACACCTTTTCTCAAAGATCATTGGGCACCACCACTTGGCTCCAGCTAATACCTCGTCAAGCCTCCCTCTTGGAGCTTGGCTATTGAGACCATATACCTCTGACGGTAGCAGACCGTGCCACTACTTCTTCCCAGGGTTGCCAGGACCCTTCCTCCAGCCAACCCATGACCATCCTGAGGTCAGGATCATCCATCTGCAGTTCTCGCCAACCTTGTTCATTGCCTGGTAGCAGCTCCCGGCAGTAGTCTTCAACATCCTGTCTGCTCTGACCCCAGTAGAACCTCTATCGCAGTTGCCTCATGGTCTTTGTTACTTCAAAGTGGGTCTTTGTTACTCCGAAGTGGGTCTTTGTTACTCCCAGAGCTGCTACCAGGAAATGAACAGTTAAGAAACTTTTGTGAAGGTGTGGTATGGTATGGCTATTATTAGTCTTAGCTACAGCAGGCCTATGAAGGCAATGCACACTGGAGCTCCATCTGACTCCGACAGTTGAACTTGAGGTGAGGAAGAATGTTTTACGCCTTAATTTAACAATATCATGTTTTTCTTTGTAAAAAATATTCTGATCGAAAATTTACAAATTAGCATCCTTCTGTATGCCTGTATCTGTATAGCAGTAGTAGCCTATCTGACAAGGATAAAGAATGCATGTTGGTGTCGGGAACATGCCACCTAAGCTTCTCTTCCTTTTATATTTATTTTTTAAATATTAATATCATACAGTCGATGCCTAGGCCTATAGGCCTATATGCATGCAATGCCCTGATGCATTTAGCGCTCAAATCTCTGACAGCTAAACCGTGAGGTGGACAATTATTGTTTTAGGAAAGTAAAAACCAATAAAACAATAGGCTATAAAGTTTTTAATATGCTACACATCGAAACACAATGAATCGTTATTTTGTCATTTGTTATAGTCATTTCTTAAGGACATGTAACTGTGGGTCATTTGGCCAATATTGCTTGTTTATTGATGCAGTTGGTATGGTGAATTATTATTAATGAACTGTAGACTTTAATGGACTATGAGGTAGAACTGGGTTAATCATGAGCATAGAGTTAGATTTCTTTGTTACTGGGCCAGGAATTGAATTGGGTCATTTCACTGTGTGTGTGGGGTTTGTGTATGTTTCAAGGATTTAGGGCCTTGTCATGGTTAAACTAAACATGAGTGTGTGTGCAAGACAGGGGAGTGAGTGGAGGAAGAGAGTAAGAGGGGGTGCCATTCTGCAGACTGGCATCGGCTTTGTTGAAACTCTAATAAAGTAATATCTTGACGCAACAAAAACTCTGTAAGACCTTATTTGTAATAAAGTATAGTGGTTATTTTCCACAACATAATTGGCGATCCCGGCAGGACTGGTTTATAAGAGATCTTTGAGTGCTTTGCCATCGGAGGAGATTTTGATGAATCACACAATCAGTGGCCACTGTTTAAACAAAGGTAAGCGACGTTCTTACTTAAACTGTGTGTTTCGATCAAGCTGAATCTGAGGGTAGGGTACGGAAGGGTTCTCTCCAGAATTTAAGGACAAAATTTAGCAGAAGAACAGAGATTTTGTTGGAATAAAGAATAAGCATGCATGCAATGTGATTGTTGAAAAGTGTAAATAGGTTAAATCCTGTGGTACCGCTGTGGAGAGCTAAGTTAGCACTCCAGAGGACTGGACGGGCAGGTGGCTAGCCAAGAGTTGTACATAAGACTGAGAGGGCCTACGGTACCGCTCTAACGTGGAGTTCATTGTTAGAGGACTGCTCGGGTAGGTGTGCATTATCCTGGAGGAGGGGATGCACAAATTAGACAGCTAATCGGGTAAGAAAGTAGGTCATCCTGAGTAGGTGACACCATCAATTGGAAGTCGCGCTTTTCATCTCAAGTAGGTGAACGGTTGTGAACGCCACCAGGGTTTCAAAAAATAGAGAAATAATTAGATAGAGTAGGTCTGCTCATCTTGTACGGGGGAATGGTTTGTTTGAGCGTCTCTGGTTCATTCAATTGTGATTAAATTGTCATTTGGTCAGCTTCGTTCAATCGTCTGACACATTTGTTCGTCCTGCTGGTCATTCTGTCTGATTCATTTAAGCACGAGTGGCTGCTTATCTGTGTGGGTGATCGGACAATAAAAATAAATCCTGTAAATAATAGCCTTTTCTTTGTGGAGAAAGAAAAGGAACTATATTTTAGGTCATTTTGATGCTTCTCACGTAACTGGGAGAAGAAGAAAAGGAGGTGTGTGTCTTTTCCCGGAGGGGTATGAGTAATCCTGTTGGAGGAACAGGTCACGTGTACGGGGATGATCATATGACGTCGACACATTGAATTTCGGTCAAGCTTTTAGGGGGTAATTCATGTTGGGATATTTAGGAGTAATATAGGATTATGGTAAAATTAACCATAGTGGAATGTCAAAGAATATTGATTGTATGTTGGTAAATAGCGGTGTGTGAATGTGATATGGTAAAATTTAACTTCCGGGAATAAAGGATCATTAGAAATATGAATGCGGTGGTTGATATGAATAATATTAAAATATGTTGAATGTTATGTGCGGATAAGTGATTATTAGAGGGTGGGTAAAAGTGAAATAATATATGAGTGCTGGCTTGTGCGCCCAAACACGTAGACGTACGTGGGGGGTGGGAAACAGTACATAGAGCGTGTGGTAGAAAAGGTTAAGCAGTATAATAACTATCTATCATTTCAGGAGCAGAGGTGATATAGTAAAGGAATTGTAGTAAATTGGGGGGGGGGGGAAGCATAATCCATTTGATTAAATTCGTTAGATCTGTTACCAAATCAACGAATGTAGAGTTGACTCGTTGACTGCTAAATTATAAGTATGGTATGTGCAAGAAATAAGAACCACTACAGACCATTTTAATTAGGATAAAGGAGGATTTATTTGTCATTTCAATAAAGCATAGTCCTGCATTACTCACTAAAATCTAGTTTTTTAGTGTTTTATTAATTTGAGCGTAATCAGAAAGGACAGTTATAGATATTGAATAGCGGACTGGCAATTGCGATAGAGCTGAGGCCGTGATTTGAATTGATAACAAAGGAAAGCAATTTGATAGGGAAGTTAGAATTTCAACAGTGAATTGTTTGAGTAGACAGAGGAAAGTAATGTATTTTAATAATATGAATGCAAATATACTGTTAGTTATTGGTGGTTTGGGCATAGACTTTACTAATGCCATGTTTTAGTTCGCGGGTAAAAGAGAGACAGACTAGCGAGTACGAATCGAGCTGTAAGTGAGATTAATAATAGAAATCTAGATAGGAGAATTTAGGATAGGGAGTAGCAGTCCAGATATAAACAAGGAAAAGGGAGAGTTGAAAGCCAAGGTTTGGGAATAAATGCCGAGACGAAGATTAGAAAGAGAACCACGGGAAAACAGATACAAAAGTTCAGATACGGGAAAATAGAGTATGTTAGTACAACGGGAGGGTTTTTGAAAAGTAGAGTAACAAGGATATTGATCGGGGAAAGTAGGGTGTGGTCTAGCGACCTAGAACCAATAGGGTACTGGGAAAAAAACTGGGGACAGGAAAAGTCTCCAGGGCTATTTTATAGGTTTGGGATAAGATAAGGGAAATAAGAGTATAGTTAGAAAGCACAGGGGAGTGACTGTCTTATTTTAATGGGAGATGAGACAAGGGAACAAAGGATAAGAACAATATTAAAAGAAAGGGATAATCTCATTTTTTGGAAAGAAGAAGAGAGAGAATGAGAGAAATCTTGAAAATATTCTGTGAGGAAGGAAAGAGTTGGAGGGACAGCATAGCCAAGGCTAGAAGGATACTAATGGAGAGGGAGAGTGGACCATAAAAGGCTGGTTTAACTGCACCACCACCATACACAGAAGGGGGCAGTATTCTCAGGTCACAGGTCTAGTCTCAATAACAGGGAATGTAGAGATAGAAGAAGAAAAAAGGAAGCAGCAGGTTTCCACACCAAGAAGAGGAGAACAATCACATTTAGGTATAAACTGTTATGAAAGACTGAGGGGGATGTTAACGGAGCTGGAAAATTATGGGATAGATGAACAAGAGTATGATGGGCAAAGAGATGGGGGGAATACAAGTGATGAGGAAGGTGAAGAACTTGGACAGTATGCTGACTCTGATCAAGAACAGAGGGAGACAGAGGGACGATTATCACAGCAAGGAGCCACAGGAGGCGAGACTATAGCAACATAATTAGGTGTGGCACTACAAGCCCATCGGGAAAAATCAGATTTAAGAAGCAGAAGGACAATAAGAAAGCCAGAAAAATATGGAGCTCAATATCCCATTTTGGTAAAGGGGACACAGGTTCACTATGTGCCCTGGGGATCACAGGACCGGGAGGGCCTGGTGACCAGACTGCCTAACCTGCATGAAGGAGAAGGGAAACGGATTAGAACATTTGAAGAACAAACGATGGGGAAGCTACTGACGGTGGGAGACTTGAAGGCATTGCTGGCCAGGGTGGTGGGAGTGGCCAAAATGGAGGACCTGTTGCAGGCAGGTGGCCTCATACCGGCGGTACGGAGGACAGTACTGGATGGAGTGGCCTTTGACAATTATAGGCCAGGACTATGGCACACTCTGAGAATAGAGTATCCAGCCAAAATAGACCCTTAAGCACTAAGAGGGGAGCCATTGGGGGATAAAGAAAACCTGGCAGGTTACCTGGACAACCAACTCAGGAGGTGGCGACAAGAAACAGAAAGAGATCCAGAGGGGGATCCACTGATGAGGATATCATTGATGGAAGCAATGCCAACGCCTGTCAGAAGCCAACTAGAAGATGTGGTGGGACTAACGGCAGAATCACGCAAGGAATTCTGCGACCATATTATCCACGCAATGGAGAAATGCAGGAGGGATGAACGGAAATTGGCAGAGCAATGGAGAGAGATTCTGAGAAAACTGGGACAGTTGCAGCTGGAAGAGATGACAGGAAAGGACAAAAAGAAAACACAAACTACACCTGTTCTCCAAGAAGGTCAACAGATACCGCCTCAGCAGCAAGGCCAAAGATCTACTACCTTACCAGTAGTGAATGTGTACACACAACAGTCTCCTGGACAGCGGCAAAACAAGAATAATGAAAAGAGACCCAATAATCAATGGTACCAACCACAGCATCAGACACACCAGAGTGGTGGACCAAGAAGACCAGGTGTTTGCTGGAGGTGCAGTCAATCAGGACATACAAGAAGGGATTGTCCTACCAAGCCGTGGTGGCCTAGGCAACCACAACAGGGTAATTGGCAAGGGAATGGGCCCAGCTTAGCTGAATGGCAGCAGTCTTAGAACTCGTGGGAAGGACCAAATCAGGATAGCTAGAGAAGCATTTATTTTGGACTAGGGGACAGGGGACAGCACTAACTTCTTGTAGGTTCTGGATTGATTACACTACAATTTATATTTGTACTAAAATCAATGCAACAGGTTGAAATGATTAGATTACTGGAAAGTGGTTATGGGTTTGTTATGTTATAGGTGTATATTCCACTTAATGAAAAATGATAATGTCTGATGTGTCTTGGTTGGGAGTCTTTTCTGGGATTGATGGAAATCCCCTACAGAATGAATGATGAGGGAGATGTAGGAGACTCACGTCTCAAACAACATTTTAATAGATACTTGGGATCAAATATCCTTACACGGAGAAATTGACTGTATTTGCGGCTACGGAAAAGCCTAGGGGTTTAAATCTTATGGGACTTTATTGGGTTAACCAGGGGAAAGTGTTGTAGGAGTAGTTATTCCTTGGGAAAGTGCACTAAACCCTGTACATGTTAGAGCCATACCAAATACAGAAGGAAGGGAATGGAAAGAGCCGTTAAACAATGATTGGTATAGATGAGTACAATATATTACATTACAAATAAATAAAGAAAATAGTCTAATATGCACCACATCTCCGTTTAAAGAATTAACAGTAGTTCAAAATCTTCACAGTTACCAGGACTGTGCTAGGATTCAATCACAACTTTTGTAATATTTAGGAAATTATAAATATAAACAATTTTATGATCAACCAGGATGGGGAGAGAAGTGTAAGCAATTGTTAGAATAGGAACAAGGAAAGGGGAAACGCCAGAGTAATGTCAAATAGACTATGAGCAAATATAGGAATGTTACAATAAAACAATTGGGTTATATAATTTGGGAGAATTCAAGGGAGAATGTGAAACTAGGTGGCATTTAAACAGATAGCCTTTGGAATGCAGGGACCCCTCAAAGAAAAATCTATCAGGCAGCAGGATCAAGTATTAGAAATTGGTATTAAGAATGAGTGGTGAAACATAATAATTTGTCATATAGTCAATTCTTATAGGGATGTTTTGGATTAGAAATGAACTCAACTAAACTGTTATGATCTGTCCTTTCCTGAGGTTACTACGGATGGTGTCTTAATGCATATCAGAGATAATTCGGTCCAGAACGGTGTGATCCTCAATAAAAACCAAACACCCTCTACCCGGCTGAAGAGGAGCAACAAAGGCGTTGAAGACGTTCCTGTCCAGCACCACCTCTACCAGGAGACCTGAATCAGAACCAGCATCAAATCAAAGCAATAAATTGCCTTCTCTTTTATGCCTTTTCTCTCAAGAAGGTGACAGGAGTCCATGTGGAGTGAGCAGGAAGAGAGATCTATTCAAATACAACATTTCTCATAGTTTGGGTATACTGGTTGGCAAAATGGACAAAACAGAATGAAGGTGGAGGTGGGGCGGCTCAGGTGTGACATTGGAATTGGGACATTGCCATGGGCAATCCAAGATTAACTATGAAGCTCTCTGAAGAACATAATGAAGACGCCAGAAGACTGAGTGCCGGTAGAGGAAGGGAGTGTTAGTTGAGGTAGTAGTATGTTGAATTGAGGAGGTATTATACACTGCTAAATGTATAGTAATTTAGACTAGGAATGCATTAAGATACTGATCTGTTGTAATTCTCGTTATGAGGAAGGTAATGCTAGAATTATGATAATATAACTATACAGTATGCCAGTGTCAATATGTGCCATGGTGAGAGTTTTAACTTTGAATGATGGAACCAAGATGACTAAGAATTGTCATTCTAAATTTGTTTTGGGTAATTAATTTGAGTATGATTATGAATTGTAAGCTGACTGATTGATCTGAATGAAGTTATGTGAGTTAAAGATATTGATATTATTCTTAAACATGTCCTAGGTAGTATGGCTAAAACAGCGCTACGTTAGTTTTAATGTGTTAGGACAATAACACTTATATTGGAATTGGTTTAAGTAGAAATATTAATATTGTTCATTATGAGTATAACTTTGAATGCAAAGATGGTGATTGATAGCATAAACATAATATACTTTTGTAAGGTTATGGGATTAGTAATCCCATGAGGGGGGATATGTGGTGAATTATTATTAATGAACTGTAGAGTTTAATGGACTATGAGGTAGAACTGGGCATAGAGTTAGATTTCTTTGTTACTGGGCCAGGAATTGAATTGGGTCATGTCACTGTGTGTGTGGGGTTTGTGTATGTTTCAAGGATTTAGGGCCTTGTCATGGTTAAACTAAACATGAGTGTGTGTGCAAGACAGGGGAGTGAGTAATTGGTTGGAGTACTATGTGCATAATAAAAGTCGAGTTTAGCCGCCCTCAGAGACAAAGGAAGTGGGTGGAGCAATAAAAGAGCGGGAAACTGAAGAGGGGACTATATATGAAGGAGGGAGAGAGTAAGAGGGGGTGCCATTCTGCAGACTGGCATCGGCTTTGTTGAAACTCTAATATATTCATATCTTGATGCAACAAAAACTCTGTAAGACCTTATTTGTAATAAAGTATAGTGGTTATTTTCCACAACACTGGCAGTGCCAGGTCTGAGGTTTCTTTCTCTCTCTCTTTCTACTCTCAGATCTGAACGGGTCTGTTTGGGTCTGTTTTTACAAAGGTATTTTCGGAACGTGTCTGATTGTCCTCAGGTCCATTTCGGAAAAGGTCTACATTTAAAAAATATATATTTATGCATATCGGGTCGGGTGGGAAAGCCACGGATCCATTTCGGAACGGATCCAACTTTTTGGACCCGTGAAGACCTCTACGGCTGGGTATCAGGAAGATGCGGAGTACCCCTTTGCATCTGCACAGCGATAGGCTAGTCGAAAGATTCATGTGGACTTTAGGTGCCCAACTAGCCCTCGAGACTGCCCAGGACCAGAGTGATTGTGACATCCAATTTCCCCTCATTCTCATGGCCTATCGAAGTGAGGTGCAGGAGTCAACGGGCTGCACTCCTGCACAGTTGATGCTGGGGAGAGAATTGAGGACCCCACTTGCATATGGGCGGCCGCCTGACGCACCAGCTGCCACAGCAGGTTCTGAGTGTTCCCGTCAGCTGCAGGCCTGCTTGGAGGTGGCCCACCACTTTGCTCAGCAGACGACGGAACTGACAGGCATGCGACAGAAGCGAAGCTACGATGCACATGTCAAAGTTCAAGACTTCCAGGTTGGTGATCTTGTGTGGGTGTATGGTCCGAAGACGGTAAAAGGGCGGAGTACAAAGCTGAATAGCAACTGGATCATGCTATGTGATCAAAAGAGTTGGAGAAGTTTTCTATGATGGCCCCCAGAGGCCGGACCGTGGTGCTGCACAGGGACAGGATGGTGCCCTATAAAGAGGACAAGCAACCAGCCTTCGCGAGGACACCCAAAACCCAGGGGACAACCCATTCTCCTCAACCCAGAAGTGAGACCTCATCGCCGCAGCACACCTTCCACAGAGAAGGAGTGACACCACATGGAGCCATTGTAGGGGAGAGTGGGGTAAGTTGAGTGTTTTTACATTCAGCATCACTACGTCAAGGGAAATATAGTATTCTTTCTAACAAAGATATCTACATGCACTCACCGGCCAGTTTATTAGGTATACCCATCTAGTACCGGGTCTGACCCCCCCTTTGCCTCCCGGACAGCCTGAAATCTTTGGGGCATTTTACAAGGTGTCAGATACGTTCCACAGGGATGTTGGTCCATGCTGAAGCGATTGCATTACGTAGTTGCTCCAGATTGGACGGTAGTACATTCATGCTGCGAACAGCCTGTATCATCTCATCCCAAAGATGCTCTATTGGGTTGAGGTCTGGGGACTGCGTAGGCCACTCCAGTAAACTGAACTCACTGTCATGTTCCAGGCAATATATTTCCACTCCTCAATTGTCCAGTGTTGGTGATTGCGTGCCCACAGGAGCAGCTTCTTCTTATTTTTAGCTGATAGGAGTGGAACCCGGTGTGGTTATCTTCTGCAATAGCCCATCCGTGACAAGGATCAACGAGTTGTGCGTTCTGAGATGCCGTTCTGCACACCACTGTTGTACCTCAACGTTATTTGTCTGTTTGTGGCCCGCCTGTTAGCTTGTATGATTCTTGCCATTCTCCTTCGACCTCTCTCATCAACGAGCTGTTTTCGGCCCACAGGACTACCGCTGACTGAATGTTTTTTATTTGTCGCACCATTCTCGGTAAAGACACTTTGCGTGAAAAGCCAAGGAGGGTGGCCATTTCTGAGATACTGGATCCGGCACGCCATATCACGCTCAAAATTGCTTAGGTCACTAGTTTTGTTCATTCTAACGTTCAATCGCACAGTATCTGAATGCCTCAGTGCCTGTCTGCCTGCTTTATATAACAAGCCACGGCCACGTGACTCACTGTATGTAGGGGTGATCCATTTTCATGAATGGGGTGTACCTAATAAACTGGCCGATAAGTGTATATTTCAGGATGTTGTGTATCCCTGCAAATAATCAGAATTCATGTAAACTGAACAGTTTGGAAAATATAGCTTATCCAAAAAAGTGATCTCTTGGCACAACTTACCCCGGGTATGGGGTAAGTTGAGCATAGGGTCAGGGTAAGTTGAGCCGGCTTAGGGTAAATGGGTGATGGTGTCCTGTGACAGTGGGTGATGGTGCTGGAAAAGTCCAAGTTTAATACATGGAATGTGGGGTGTGGTACTGTATAGCTTAAATGTATGCCTACATTCAGATATACTGTAGATAGTATGAAAAATGTATGCACTCACTAACTGTAAGTCGCTCTGGATAAGAGCGTCTGCTAAATGACTCAAATGTAAAATGTAATCTCTCTGCATTTGAGGCTACTAAGGCCATGACACTGGTCTGTGAAATTCTTGATATGTTTAGCAAGCTCAGACTCCATGTCATCAGATAAGACCTTGTGTGCCTCTGCTACTCTATCATTGCCTCTTTTTCGCATAGGTACATGTTCGTTTTCTTTTTTGTCAATTCAGTCAATTTTTGTATCCCTTGCTGCTGCTCGTATGGACTTCTTCCCTTCTCTCACTTCATTTGCTGCTCGCTCAAGAACCTCAACGGGGGCTAGACCCCTGCTTTTTTTACGTTTGTATAAACAGGGCATGATGATGTCTGCTCTTTAACATAAAAAATGCACTATATTGAGTTCATATGCATGACATCGCACTAATACTATGCATATTATGCATAAAACTGACAAAATGTAGTCATAATTTGTATGGGGTATGGTGGCCATTGGCTCAACTTACCCGTGGCCATTGGCTCAACTTATCCCAAGGCAAACATTTTTGCCTAATATTATTACCCACACAGCTACAAGGATGCACTTTCATGCTAGGTTTAGGACCTTATATTGTATCTTATAAAGACTCCAACTGATGTATAAAACAATCTCAGAACGATCTACTTCAGATACAAGCGTCATGAAACCTATAACATAATACATTCATTTGACTTTGTGAAAATCCGTTTTTTTTTACCTAACTTGCTTACATTTTCAATATGGTTTCATCCTTCACAGATGCCATGAAATTATCGCCTCTTCCATAATATATGGCCAGATTATACATTTTGTGTATGGTTTCTAACCCTTTGGCTCAACTTACCCCACTCTCCCCTACTCTGCAATGTAGGGTCTCTACACTGTGTATCTGAGCTATTCTGTATATCTGAGCTAAATACACACCAGCTGTATTTCTACCTGTTTGAACGGCAATAGCTCAGATACACATGAAAACATGAATTGACCCCAGGAATCACTCAGATACAGTGGGGGAAAAAAGTATTTAGTCAGCCACCAATTGTGCAAGTTCTCCCACTTAAAAAGATGAGAGAGGCCTGTAATTATCATCATAGGTACACGTCAACTATGACAGACAAATTGAGGAAAAAAAATCCAGAAAATCACATTGTAGGATTTTTTATGAATTTATTTGCAAATTATGGTGGAAAATAAGTATTTGGTCACATACAAACAAGCAAGATTTCTGGCTCTCACAGACCTGTATCTTCTTCTTTAAGAGGCTCCTCTGTCCTCCACTCGTTACCTGTATTAATGGCACCTGTTTGAACTTGTTATCAGTATAAAAGACACCTGTCCACAACCTCAAACAGTCACACTCCAAACTCCACTATGGCCAAGACCAAAGAGCTGTCAATGGACACCAGAAACAAAATTGTAGACCTGCACCAGGCTGGGAAGACTGAATCTGCAATAGGTAAGCAGCTTGGATTGAAGAAATCAACTGTGGGAGCAATTATTAGGAAATGGAAGACATAAAAGACCACTGATAATCTCCCTCGATCTGGGGCTCCACGCAAGATCTCACCCCGTGGGGTCAAAATGATCACAAGAACGGTGAGCAAAAATCCCAGAACCACACGGGGGGACCTAGTGAATGACCTGCAGAGAGCTGGGAACAAAGTAACAAAGCCTACCATTAGTAACACACTATGCCGCCAGGGACTCAAATCCTGCAGTGCCAGACGTGTCCCCCTGCTTAAGCCAGTACATGTCCAGGCCCGTCTGAAGTTTGCTAGAGTGCATTTGGATGATCCAGAAGAGGATTGGGAGAATGTCATATGGTCAGATGAATCCAAATTAGAACTTTTTGGTAAAAACTCAACTCGTCTTGTTTGGAGGACAAAGAATGCTGAGTTGCATCCAAAGAACACCATGCCTACTGTGAAGCATGGGGGTGGAAACATCATGCTTTGGGGCTGTTTTTCTGCAAAGGGACCAGGACTACTGATCCGTGTAAAGGAAAGAATGAATGGGGCCATGTATCGTGAGATTTTGAGTGAAAACCTCCTTCCATCAGCAAGGGCATTGAAGATGAAACGTGGCTGGGTCTTTCAGCATGACAATGATCCCAAACACACCGCCCGGGCAACGAAGGAGTGGCTTCGTAAGAAGCATTTCAAGGTCCTGGAGTGGCCTAGCCAGTCTCCAGATCTCAACCCCATAGAAAATCTTTGGAGGGAGTTGAAAGTCCGTGTTGCCCAGCGACAGCCCCAAAACATCACTGCTCTAGAGGAGATCTGCATGGAGGAATGGGCCAAAATACCAGCAACAGTGTGTGAAAACCTTGTGAAGACTTACAGAAAACGTTTGACCTGTGTCATTGCCAACAAAGGGTAAATAACAAAGTATTGAGAAACTTTTGTTATTGACCAAATACTTACAGTGAGGGAAAAAAGTATTTGATCCCCTGCTGATTTTGTACATTTGCCCACTAACAAAGAAATGATCAGTCTATAATTTTAATGGTAGGTTTATTTGAACAGTGAGAGACAGAATAAAAACAAAAAAATCCAGAAAAACGCATGGCAAAAATGTTATAAATTAATTTGCATTTTAATGAGGGAAATAAGTATTTGACCCCCTCTCAATCAGAAAGATTTCTGGCTCCCAGGTGTCTTTTATATACGTAACGAGCTGAGATTAGGAGCACATTCTTAAAGGGAGTGCTCCTAATCTCAGCTTGTTACCTGTATAAAAGACACCTGTCCACAGAAGCAATCAATCAATCAGATTCCAAACTCTCCACCATGGCCAAGACCAAAGAGCTCTCCAAGGATGTCAGGGACAAGATTGTAGACCTACACAAGGCTGGAATGGGCTACAAGACCATCGCCAAGCAGCTTGGTGAGAAGGTGACAACAGTTGGTGCGATTATTCGCAAATGGAAGAAACACAAAAGCACGTGGAGTTGCAATGATCATGAGAACGGTGAGGAATCAGCCCAGAATTACACGGGAGGATCTTGTCAATGATCTCAAGGCAGCTGGGACCATAGTCACCAAGAAAACAATTGGTAACACACTACGCCGTGAAGGACTGAAATCCTGCAGCGCCCGCAAGGTCCCCCTGCTCAAGAAAGCACATATACAGGGCCGTCTGAAGTTTGCCAATGAACATCTGAATGATTCAGAGGAGAACTGGGTAAAAGTGTTGTGGTCAGATGAGACCAAAATCGAGCTCTTTGGCATCAACTCAACTCGCTTTGTTTGGAGGAGGAGGAATGCTGCCTATGACCCCAAGAACACCATCCCCACCGTCAAACATGGAGGTGGAAACATTATGCTTTGGGGGTGTGTTTCTGCTAAAGGGACAGGACAACTTCACCGCATCAAAGGGACGATGGACGGGGCCATGTACCGTCAAATCTTGGGTGAGAACCTCCTTCCCTCAGCCAGGGCATTGAAAATGGGTCGTGGATGGGTATTCCAGCATGACAATGACCCAAAACACATGGCCAAGGCAACAAAGGAGTGGCTCAAGAAGAAGCACATTAAGGTCCTGGAGTGGCCTAGCCAGTCTCCAGACCTTAATCCCATAGAAAATCTGTGGAGGCAGCTGAAGGTTCGAGTTGCCAAACGTCAGCCTCAAAATCTTAATGACTTGGAGAAGATCTGCAAAGAGGAGTGGAACAAAATCCCTCCTGAGATGTGTGCAAACCTGGTGGCCAACTACAAGAAATGTCTGAGGTCTGTGATTGCCAACAAGGGTTTTGCCACCAAGTACTAAGTCATGTTTTGCAGAGGGGTCAAATACTTATTTCCCTCATTAAAATGCAAATCAATTCATAACATTTTTGCCATGCGTTTTTCTCGATTTTCTTGTTGTTATTCTGTCTCTCACTGTTCAAATAAACATACCATTAAAATGATAGACTGATCATGTCTTTGTCAGTGGGCAAACGTACAAAATCAGCAGGGGATCAAATACTTTTTTCCCTCACTGTATTTTCCACCATAATTTGCAAATAAATTCATTAAAAAATCCTACAATGTGATTTTCTGGATTTTTTTTCCTCATTTTGTCTGTCATAGTTGACGTGTACCTATGATGAAAATTACAGGTCTCTCTCATCTTTTTAAGTGGGAGAACTTGCACAATTGGTGGCTGACTAAATAATTTTTTCCCCCACTGTATGCACAAAAACAATATAACGTTCAAAGTGGGTGAATCTTTCCTTTAAAACCCGGTTGGCCGGTTCTACAGTCTCATTGTTCTTCTAATTAGTTATCTAGCTAAGGAGTGGACCCGATAAAGCCACAATATGTGACCCGTTTCAAGAAGCTATGTATATGTCACTACTTCACAGGAGAAGCATTTTAATATTTTAATATTTATTTTAATCAAAAAGCGTTTTTGGCAAAAATGCCTTCTGGAACATGACAACTTTCATGTGCCTTAATGACAAACTTGTATGCCATCTGTAAATATGAATACAATTGTTAAATTACGAGACTAGTTGGTTTAGCCACGGAAAAAGACAGGAACCTTCCCGCTCCATGTATACATGTAAGAGTCTAGCAAAATGTTCAGATATTATACTTTTCTAATTTTGTCAGAAAGTTATTTTAATTTAATGCATGGTGGCTAGCTATGACAATCTGTTTGTACTGTACCTATGGGTTGGGATTACGGTTAATTGTTTAGCTAGCTAGCTAGCTACATGTCTAAACAAAAGACTCCACTTCGCAAGAGAATGATTACATGACCCATCAAGTTAGCCAGGTGTGTCTGGGGGTGATTACGGCCATCTATTGTATTACATGAACATGTGTAAATGTCTAGACAATAGTGACCCATCAATTTAGCTAGATGTGGCTGGGGGGTGGTTATAGCATTTCCTTCACATGACCCATCAATTTAGACAAGTGTCTGGGTAAGCATAATCTAATAATCATAAAATATTTATAAAATATTTGTATCTGGACACTTTCAAAGTCAGGTTAGGATAGAGGCCAAGGACTAGATAAAGTGTATTTTTACCTGGAGTTTTTCCTTATTGTAGGCTACTACTTTCACCACTTTTCAGTCTTGAAATCTTTGGTTGTTTACTACACTACCTTACTCACTCTGTTTAGCACATGGCCTCACATGTGAATCCTTAAAGAGATGGGTGGGGCTAAGGCTTAAGAGGGTGTGAATGATGCTGAATGGGTGTAGACAAAGAAAAGCTCTCCAGTAGGTTTACCAAAACATTCAAGGGCCATTTTCTCAAAGGTGAGGTTACAAGTTTATCAACTTTCAAAGCAGAATTACTTTCCCATTGTTCCTCAACTGCAGTGTATGATATACCATGTTGTAGCTATGAGTCTCTACTTTTATCCAATGTAAAAAACACCATTCAAATTTTGCTACATAAGACCAAATCGATGTGGTTGGTCACATATGTTATATGCAGGACGTTTTCAACTACGATTCCTATATGTGGGGTGTTATGGGAAAGATTGTTTATAAAAATCTAAAGGTATCAGTCGACACTAATTATCTCTCTCTTCCATCTCCTTAGCCCTAACCCTTCCATGTCTGCAGATCTGAAGGGTCTAGAGAAAAGCAGTAGTGGTGGATCTTCCACTATATTGCTTCAACCTTACACGCACACATCAAAGGGTAAGGCCAAGGGGTAGAGAGGGAATTGTGGCCGACTTTATATTAGCTGTAAAAGGCATAGAGTTACTGGATAACCTTCAGCATGGCCTGATTCTTGGCCCTGACTGCATGGTGGAGAGCGGTCATCCCATCTTGTGATCTGAAGTCCAAATGTGCTCCACCTTGTTTCAACACAACGATGACCTGCGCCATATTGTCCAGGTGGGCTGCAAAGGTCAGTGGAGTTTCTACAAAACAAACACACAACATGGTGTTGTTTAGTGTTATATATATATATATATATATATATATGTTATTGCATTAACATCATCAAAGAAAATGTTATGGGTAAGTTTCCTGGAATAGAAGGCTAGTTCTGGAATAGAAGGCATGTTCAAAGAAGAATGGCCATCGAAATAACTTTGTAGTCCAGGACTAGGCTTTGTCCTGGAAACCAGCCCTGTAAGTACCACAGAATGAAGGTGCACAAAAACACAAGCAATTGTACTGTGGCCGTAGACTGAGACTTTAAAAACATTTGAGGTGAGCTGATCTCTAATTTCCATTTACAATAAACTAAGCCATTCATAATTGATTGGACACTGTTTACTTCTCAGAAGCAGCTGCTGTATAATACAACATGAGGTGCACATCACAATATTGAGACAGAGCCTGTGTGTGTGTGTGTGTGTGTGTGTGTGTGTGTGTGTGTGTGTGTGTGTGTGTGTGTGTGTGTGTGTGTATGTGTGGCGTACCACCAGTTTCAGGGTCATGATAGTTGGGGTCGAAGCCTTTCTCCAGCATCTTTGCCACTTTATCCAGCTGGTGATGCTGAATGTGGTCCATGAATTTCCTATAGTTGGCCTAGGAGTAGGAGGGAGCAGAAAGAGAGATAGAGAGAGAGAGAGAGGACGGATGTGTGATACAGGGAGGTTGGTACAGTAGGGAGGTCAGATGATGGTTACACAGGTCTCTGCACTGCTGTTCTTCTCATGGTGCTTTCCCCAGGGACCAGGGACACATGTGCTGCTTTCCAGGCCAGTTATAAATAGCTAAGAGAGCAGGTCCCAGAGCTGAGCTGAACTGAACAGTGCCAGGCAAAAAGGGAGAGAGGCTCGCCTGCAACCTTCAGGCAGGACAGAGACACTACAGGGGGACTGACGCTGACCAGAGCACTCTAACGCAGCTACACACACTTTGAACAACTCCAACACACACACCACACACACACACGCGCAAACAAACACACACAAAGGAAGAGTGGACTTGAAAGAACAGGGAAAACAGCAGGGATGGAATTTGATAGGTGAATTATTTAGTATGGCATTCCCGGACAGTGATAGGAATTATCCTGGACTCAGTCGTTTTCTGTCTCAATCCAATACTCCATCTTGTTCTGTGTTAAAATACGTACCTGCTAAATATTGAGCCCATGGAAGTAATGCACTTCAATAATTTACACTTTATATTCAGCTTGTAGCCGAATAGTGCATTGATTTGATCAGTATTACAGAGAAAGGACCTGAGATGTTCTTTCACTCATAATACAATGAAAATCTCAAAGACAAGCTCCGTTAATAATATCATTTTTCACACGACTGTAGTGTCTTGAGCCATACTCTACTGCCGCTGAAATTGTCTTTTCTTCATTGACCTTTCCAGCACGGTTCCATCATTGGCGGATACATAGTGTGAAAAGGGTATACCTGTCCAAGGTATAGCTTTCACCTGATCCAATACAATAAATGACACCAGCAATTGATATTCAAAGTCATTGCAGTGAATATAATGAATCTATTGTACAACCTGAAAGAAGTGAAAAAGGGAATATAGAGCCTCATTTATTTTTCTCACCTCCGTGTGGATTTTGGCAATCTCCTTTTCGTTTACATTGGGCTGCTGGTAGACCCTGCTCTTGTAACGGAACTGTAAATAGGAGAAGAGTATTAAGGAAACGCTTCACTTAAAGCCAACAGGTAATAATGCATTATGATGTTGTTGTAATGCATTGTAAGACTTATCATGAGCATGACCACCCTATAATGTCTCTTATAATCATCTCGTAATGATCCTGACTAACAAAACAGCCACAATCATACCCTGCAGCACTGACACTGGTGATCCATATATTCAAAACTAAGTAAGTAGTACAACTACCAGTAGAAGAAGCAGGCAGTAATTAAGACTTCAGTCAAGTACTAGCGTTACCAGGGGACCCCTGACTGGGGCTATATCGAACAAAGAACAGAGAGAGGGAGCCAAGAGGGAGTTTCCAGCTATGGAAACGTTCACATTGGGTTTTTGGTAGACCTTGCTCTTATAACGAAACTGTAGGGGATTCAAAAAAGATGACTTCCCAATCATACCCAGGGCCCGTATTCACAAAATCCTCTCAGCGTTAAGAGCGCTGATCTAGGATCAGGTCCCCCCTGTCCATAGCATTGTTCTATAAAGCCTCAGTTATGATCTTAAAGGCAAAACTGATCAGCACTTCTCTGAGACACTTTATGAATACTGGCCCAGAACTGGTGATACATATGTCTAATACTAAGTAACTAAGGTGTATATAAAAGATCACCCAGGCAGGCAATAATTAAGTAGTAGTGATACCAGGGGACCGCTGACTGAGGCTATATAGAACAAAGAACAGAGAGAGGGAGCCAAGAATGGAGTTTCCAGCTATGCCGCCTCATCACAATCCAGCCGAGCTGTTTGGAAAACAAGACTTATTATAGTGATGCAGTCCCTTGATCATTCATTAAGTGGCTGCATTTCTCCAGATTCTTTGATAATGATCAACCAGGAGAAGTGCTTATACAGCAGCCCTGGGTGGGGTTCAGCAGTGTGTCCAGTGCTGTGTTACTGGACCGCAGGGATGGAGCAGTGCTGGAGAAATGTAGGAAGTAGGGCCCACACACACAATCCATTACAACATCGTACTTGCCTAATAAAGGTATGTTGTAGAGCAATCAGTGGCGTACGTTTGCCAATACAGGAGGACTGGACTTGAGGGATGGAGCCATACTGGATAAATTAAGTAGGGCCTGCAATGCACACACGACTGCTCCACCACATACTCTATAGGCTAGTATAACGTTTTGAGCCATGAGTGCATCTATTTGACAAGACGAAGATCAAAACAGTAATAGCCTGATGAAGGTACTGTATGTTGTGGAGCAATCAGTGATGGATGTGCGTTTGACAATACAGACTAATGGAGCTGTACTGTTTCTGTACCACCAGAGTTGGGATCCCTTTGCTGATGGTGGGGGAGTTAGTCTGAGGGTTAGGACTAGGGCTAGGGTTAGGGTTAGGACCTGAGGGATGGATCCAAGCAGTACTGTTACTGTACCTCTAGAGTTGGAACCCCCTTGATGCTGGTGGGAGTGGGGTAGTCTTTGAGGGGGCGCTCTTCGTCCAGGAAGCCAGACTTGCGGCCCTCCACAGCGGGCTGAAACAGGCCATAGTTCAGCACGTCCCTCAACGTCTGGGTCAGTGTACACAGGATCTGCTGCTTAGCAACCCACACGGTGGCCTCGGGCTTAAACCTCATACATGTCTGCTCCAAAACAAAGACAACACATGTAAAGATCATACTAAAATACCAAACCTGGAGTTTAAACATACATTTCTGCTCCAAAACATTAGACGACAGCTGGCGTTGGGTTTAAAAAGCATACATTTCTGCTTCTAACATACACATGCAGATTTTACATTCTGGCAGCAGGTGCTAACAGATGGATCTGGACAAACAATAGCACACGTCTCCCTGCCAGTGAGACAATGGCTGTGAATATAGGCTTTTATTTACAGTAGAATAGACTAGGAAGTCCAGTATAGAACAGTATGTAAATGTCTACTAATTATATTCTGCTACAGTAATTAGCTAGCCTCTTCCCAACAGAAGCAGGACAAATATTATCATTCCATATTCATTAAGTCATTTGGCAGAGGTGCACACTACACAGTATTGGTGGAAGAAAACAACTGGAATTAGCTCAATCAATTAGTAAGGATTATAGCAATGCATTATGCCTGTTATCCAGAAAATCCTAGGGGGTTTATCTGAGAGTGTGTGTTCATTTCTGATAAGGCATTTGAAAAACAACAGCACTTCTTCTCAGCAAGAAAATCTATGTTTTGTGGCTGAATAACCTAGCTATTGATTTTCAATTGCTTTTTTTCTCCCTCTTACATACAGTGCCTTCAGAAAGTATTCATACGCCTTGACTTATTCCACATTTTGTTGTGTTACAGCCTGAATTCAAAATGGATGAAAAAGTATATATAATTATACCCATCTACACACAATACCTCATAATGACAACGTAAAAACATGTTTTTAGACAAATGTCGTAATGTATTGAAAATGAAATACAGAAATATCTAATGTATGTAAGTATTCACATCACTGAGTCAATACTTTGTAGAAGCACCTTTAGCAGCGATTACAGCTATGTGTCTTTCTGGGTAAGTCTCTAAGAGCTTTCCACCCCTGGATTATGCAACATTTGCCCATTATCCTTTTCAGAATTCTTCAAGCTCTGTCAAGTTGGTTGTTGATCATTTGCTAGACAACCATTTTCAGGTCTTGACATAGATATTCAAGTAGATTTAAGTCAAAACTGTAACTCGGCCACTCAGGAACATACACAATCTTCTTGGTAAGCAACTCCAGTGTAGATTTGGCCTTGTGTTTTAGATTATTGTTCTACTGAAAGGTGAATGAATCTCCCAGTATCTAATGAAAAGCAGACTGAGCCAGGTTTTCCTCTAGGATTTTGCCTGTGCTTAGCTCTATTACGTTTCTTTTACATCCTGAAAAGCTCCCCAGTTCTTAACAATTACAAGCATACCCATAACATGATACACCATCCAAAGTGTAATCAATAACTTCACCATGCTCAAAGGGATATTCAATATCTGCTACCAATAGGTGCCCTTCTTTGAGAGGCATTGGAAAACATCCCTTTGTGGTTGAATCTGTGTTTCAAATTCACTGCTCGACTGAGGGACCTTAAAGCTAATTGTATGTGTGGGGTGAAGACATAAGGTAGTCATTCAAAAATCATGTTAAACACTATTATTGCACACAAAGTGAGTCCATGCAATGCATTGGGTGACTTGTTAAGCACATTTTTTTCTCCTGAACCTATTTAGGTTTGCCACAACAAAGGGGTTGAATACTTATTGACTCGACATTTAAGCTTTTCAGTTTTTATTAATTTGTAAACATTTCAAAAATCATAATTCCACTTTGACATTATGGGGTATTGTGTGTAGGCCAGTGAAGGAAATCTAAATGTCATCCATAATAAATTCAGGCTGTAACACAACAAAATGTGGAAAAAGCCAAGGGGTGTGAATCCTTTCTGATGACACTGTATCTATCTAACTGCTCGGCTGAGAACAGTGTGACTTTCAGTTTATACATTATACAGTACATAGCTATTGTAGCTCGCTCTTTCATATTGACTATATGCAGCTAGGTTGGCGCAAATATCCCACAATAGCTATGACCTCATTTTTTAACAGCTTTGTGCTTTACTAACAATTCTACTAGCCTAGGGTTCAGTCTTTCACATAAGCAACACGCAGTAACAAACTACCGGTATGTCGTAATTCCAACCAGCATGCAGCATCCCAAATATTTTTCTACTCTCACTAGCACTGATTTGGCAGATAGCTGCTGTTTTCTTTCCTGTTTTCCTTGCAATGATTGTGACGTGGTCGTTAATCCACACCCGGCTATGATTACAGACACCTGTGTGTGTCCTTCCAAACTATATAAACTAGTGACCCGCAGTGTTTGTCATTATACCCTGATGAAGACAGCTTGTCTGTCGAAACGTTAGTTATAAAATTACTGCATCTGAGGTCGTTGTTTTACCTACTTTAGTTGAATGCACTGATTGTTAGTCACTCTGGATAAGACTGTCTACTAAATGACTAATATGCAACAAACAAAAAAGTTATGTCCCTGTCCCTACTCACGGACTACTGTCGGTCAGGGATGACAACACAAATGGAAAGTGAAAGGTGCTTATGTTTTGGCTTTGAACTGGATTTAGATTGCATATTACTGCAGTATGATAAGAAAATAATTTACAGAGACAGAAGTGTGTACTCACAGACTGCTGCAGGTCAGGGATGACCACACAGAAGACCAGTGACTCCCTGCGGGCGGCCCTATCCTTCTCTGCCCTCCTGCCGGTCCTTCTGCTGGCCCTTTCCCCTCCAGGTCCTCCATGGCCAGGCAACTCCTTGGAGCTGTCTGTCTCAAAACCTCCAGACCCGTCAGAGAAACTCTGGGCCATCTCCTCCTCGCTGGACGTAGGACTCCGAGGCATGATACTCTACTGGAGAGAGGAGACTGTGTTACACAGTGTACACTATACAGTATATACTACTAACGCACACACAAGCTCAGAAGGTCAGGCTACGAGGCATGCTGGACTCTACTGTAGCCGTGCCAGGGATAGAGGACTTCATTATACAGTAACCAACCCCAGATAAACACACAGACACAGTGTACTTCACACATAAAATACTAACACACACAAACACGCCATCTCCGGACTCAACGTTGGGCTTCGAGGCATGATACTGTACTACACTGTTGCCGGGGGAGGGAGCGAAGAGAGGAAAGAAGGGATATTACACAGTGTACTTTATACACACACACATATGCACACACACAAAAGTTCTGGTCCATCTCCTCCTCACTGGACATTGGGCACCGAGGAATGATACTCTACTGGTCAGGCCAGCAAGAGAGAAGGAGGAGGGGAGAGAGAGCGAGAGAAGGGAGGACACAGTGTTACGTAGAAACCATACAATTACAGACACAGATACACATACAAACATAGTGTACTTCACACACTGACGCGCACACAGCGTCACACACACGACGTCACACACACACACACACGCACACTGTGGACCATCTCCTTCTCACTGTACGTCGGGCCTGATATTGGACTGTGGCCGGGGGAGGGAGAAGAGATAGGAGAGAGGAGAGAAGAGACAGGCTCACCCAGATCCATACATTTATTACAATGTCAAACATACAAACAGGACTATGACAATGCTATATCCCAATTATCTTTCCTTCCTCCCAAAGTGTGCACCTGTTCACTTCCCTTCACTGATATGAAAGGAAATAACTGGAATAAGAAATATGGTGGAAACTCCACCCCATGTCTCCACCAATCCAATGCTTTTAGGTTGTGGGAAGTAGTGAACAAGTGAGTGCACACTTCAGGAGAAAGGAGATATCATTGGGACGTGATTCATATCCCCTCATTTGGCGCCAAAAACTGATTTAGAATGTTTGCTAATGTTTACTCGTGTTGCTAGCGTGTATAAGCATATTCCTATAGCTAAACATGTTCCACGGTTGTTATGCAAAAGATCACACTCGAATAGAAATGTTAACATTGTTTATTATACTTTAAAGTTACATTATTGGGGCATTCGCATGCTTGTGGTAAGTGGGAAACTATAAATCCAACATTATTGTGTTTAAGTGCTTTTGAAGTCGGAACAATTATCTTTGTCTCTTTGTCAACAACAACTGGTGCACAATCACTAATATTAAGGAAGTCTCAAGGTTCTGCTCGCCTGAGTTAGAGTACCTCATGATAAGCTGTAGACCATACTGTTTACCAAGAGAGTTTTCATCTATATTCTTCGTAGCTGTCTATTTACCACCACAAACCGATGCTGGCACTAAGACCGCACTCAACGAGCTGTATAAGGCAATAAGCAAACAAGAAAATGCTAATCCAGAGGCGGCGCTCCTAGTGGCCGGAGACTTTAACGCAGGAAAACCAAAATACGTTTTACCTAATTTCTACCAGCATGTGCAACTAGAGGAAAAAAACTCTAGATCACATTTACTCCACACACAGAGACGCGTACAAAGCTCTCCCTTGCCCTCCATTTGGCAAATCTGACCATAACTCTATCCTTCTGAGACCGTACATACATATCCCAACAAGAAGCCATGGATTACAGGCAACATCCGCACTGAGCTCAAGGGGCGGGACACTAATCCGGACACTTATAAGAAATCCCACTACGCCCTCAGACGAACAATCAAACAGGCAAAGCGTTAATACAGGACTAAGATCAAATCCTACTACACCGGCTCTGGCATTCGTCGGACGTGGCAGGGCTTGCAAACTATCACGGATTATAAAGGGAAACCCAGTCGCGCTGCCCAGTGACGCAAGCCTACCAGACGAGCTCAATGCCTTCTATGCTCGCTTCGAGGCAAGCAACACTGAACCATGCATGAGAGCACCAGCTGTTCCAGACGACTGTGATACACACTCTCCATAGCTGATGTGAGTAAGACCTTAAAACAGGTTAACATTCACAAGGCCGCAGGGCCAGACAGAGTACCAGGACGCGTACTCAGAGTAAGGCTTTTGTTTTTATGAGCGTTTATGTCTGCTTGTTCTCATGTTGTATTTTTGGTTTCGTCTCCTTCACCCCTCTGTGCTGTGTGGACCTTCCCATTTACACCAGAGATCTGTATATAATGACGTGATGCATTGGCCTTATTTTGGACAGATTTTAGCGAGACTGAAACCTCTCGCTTCGCCTCTTCCTCTATGGTTTACACACACACACCATACCCCTACCCCTGCCTCTCATGCCAACAAAGTTGAGAGATTACATCTCTCTATTTGCATTTGAGGTTTGGTCCAACAGAATCGGTCATATGGACAACAAAACAGATTGAGACATTATTTTACTGTAATAGAGAAGTTAACTTTTCTAACGATACCCTTTTAATGTATCAACTACTCAAATTGCGTGCAGAGCAGACACTACTAAAACGAGAGTATCAATGAACATTGATTCTGGAAAATGAATGCCTAATTTGTTGTGCAAGGCATGGGGGTACCATGTGCTGCTAGCAGCATTTTAGCCAAAGATTGTTATACTAGTTGTCTAGTCTGTGTTTTATAAATGTGCAATAAGCATAAAACACAATTATTATATAAGGAATTGGCAACTCATCCTCATTCTGAGAAAAAAGGTAGGCCATTTAATTTCAATATCTGAACAAAGTGGACAGACTAATATGCTTTTCAAACATTTGGAGACAGACACAGGGGTGTTTTCATAACAATTCAACAGTTCAACCTTGTTGGCTAGCAAATAGATCCAAGTTGACTAAACTTTAAATATAAAGATTAGCTGGCTAATCACTAGCACGTGGGCTTGAGAGATTGTTGATGAGACCTGTGTTCATTTTCTATAGCCTAATTCCTGCTACAAGAAGTTATTGTAGAAGTCATTATTAGTGAATGTGCATTATGCATGGTTCTAGTTAAATTTGTAACAGAAAATGGCATTTTCATAGACAGATTAGTGATTATTGCCCCCAAAAAAGCAGGTTAAACTATTTTGATAAAATAATAAAATAATTAGTGGGTCTTATGGTTGTGGAAGGCTTACAGTGCATTTAGAAAGTATTCAGACCCCTTCACTATTTCCACATTTTGTTACGTTACAGCCTTATTCTAAAATGGATGAATCCATCTACACACAATACCCCATAATGACAAAGTGAAAACAGAAATACCTTATTTACATAAGTATTCAGACCCTTTGCTATGAGACTCGAAATTGAGCTCAGGTGCATCCTGTTTCCATTGATCATCCTTGAGATGTTCCTACAACTTGATTGGAGACCAACTGTGGTAAATACAATTGATTGGATATGATTTGGAAAGGCACACACCTGTCTACAGAGCATTCGGAAAGTATTCAGACCCCTTGACTTTTTCCATATTTTGTTATGTTACAGCCTTATTCTAAAATTGATTAAATATCTTTCCCCCTCATCAATCTACACACAATACCCCATAATGACAAAGCGAAAACAGGTCTTTAGAAATTCTTGCAAATGTACAAAAACATTTAATGCGATACCTAATTTACATAAGTATTCAGACCCTTTGCTATGAGACTCGAAATTGAGCTCAGGTGCATCCTGTTTCCATTGATCATCCTTAAGATATTTCTACAACTGGATTGGAGTCCACCTGTGGTAAATTCAATTGATTGGACATGATTTGGAAAGGCACACATCTGTCTATATAAGGTCCCACATTTGACAGTGCATGTCAGAGCAAAAACCAAGCCATGAGGTAGAAGGAATTGTCCGTAGAGCTCCGAGACAGGATTGTGTCGAGGCACAGGTCTGGGGAAGGGTACCAATACATTTCTGCAGCATTGAAGGTCCCCAAGAACACTGTGGCCTCCATCATTCTTAAATGGACCAAGTTTGGAACCACAAAGACTCTTCCTAGAGCTGGCCGCCCGGCCAAACTGAGCAATCGGGGGAGAAGGGCCTTGGTCAGGGAGGTGACCAAGAACCCGATGGTCACTCTGAATGAGCTCCAGAGTTCCTCTGTGGAGATGGGAGAACCTTCTCTGCAGCACTCCACCAATCAGGCCTTTATGGTAGAGTGGCCAGATGGAAGCCACTCCTCAGTAAAATACACATGACAGCCCGCTTGGAGTTTGCCAAAAGGCACCTAAAGGACTCTCAGACCATGAGAAACAAGATTCTCTGGTCTGATGAAACCCAGATTGAACTCTTTGGCCTGAATGCCAAGCGTCATGTCTGGAGGAAACCTGGCATCATCCCTACGGTGGAGCATGGTGGTGGCAGAATCATGCTGTGGGGATGTTTTTCAGCGGCAGGGACTGGGAGACTAGTCAGTATCGAGAGAAAGTTGAACAGAGCAAAGTACAGAGAGATCCTTGATGAAAACCTGCTCCAGAGCGCTCAGGACCTCAGACTGGGGCGAAGGTTCACCTTCAAACAGGACAACGACCCTAAGCACACAGCCAAGTGGCTTCGGGACAAGTCTCTGACTGACCTTGAGTGACCCAGCCAGAACCCAGACTTGAACCCAATCGAAAATCTCTGGTGAGACCTGTAAATTGCTGTGCAGCGACTTTCCCCATCCATCCTGACAGAGCTTGACAGGATCTGCAGAGAATAATAGGAGAATCTCCCCAAATACATGTGTGCCAAGCTTGTAGCGTCATTCCCAAGAAGACTTGAGGCTGTAATCGCTGCCAAAGGTGCTTCAACAAAGTACTAAGTAAAGCGTCTGAATACTTATGTAAATGTGATTTCAAAAAACCTGTTTTTGCTTTGTTATAATGGAGTATTGTGTGTAGATTGATGAGGGATTAAAAGAAAAATCAGGCTGTGTCACGCCCTGGCTCTGGGGACTCTTAAATGTTGAGCCAGGGTGTGGATTTTTCTATGTTTAGTTTTCTATGTTTTTTGTTCTAGATCGTTTAGATCTATGTTGGCCAGGGTGGTTTCCAATCAGAGGCAGCTGTAGCTCGTTGTCTCTGATTGGGGACCATACTTAGGCAGCCTGTTGGCACCAGTTAGTTTGTGGGATCTTGATCCGTAAAGGTTTGGTGTGTGTAACCTCAGGACTTCACGTATCATTTCGTTTTGTTGTTTTGTTCGTGTGTTGTGTATCATTAAAGATGTACGCTTATCACGCTGCGCCTTGGTTCCACGAGTCATCAGTCAACGTGCGTGACAGGCTGTAACGTAACTGTCACGATCGTTGATGAACGGGTCAGACCAAGGCGCAGCGTGATATGCATACATGTTTATTTGACTATTAAACACAACGACAAAACAAGAAACGAAATGTGAAGTCCAAGGTACACAAACAACATACCTAACACGGAACAAGATCCCACAACCCACTAGTGCCAATAGGCTGCCTAAGTATGGTCCCCAATCAGAGACAACGAGCTACAGCTGCCTCTGATTGGGAACCACACCGGCCAACACCAACATAGAAATACACAACATAGAACATGCACACCCTGACTCAACATATACGAGTCCCCAGAGTCAGGGCGTGACAGTAACAAAATGTGGAAAAAGTCAAGGGGTCTGAATACTTTCTGAATGCACTGTGTCTTTAGCCTAGGTATAACTTCACCAGCCCTGAATTCATTCGATTATTGTTGACTGTTTGAAATGTAGTGTTTTGACAATTAATTGTTCAACAACGTTTATTTAAACAAAACATAAAAAAAATGGAGGTATATTTCGTGAATCGCCCATAAGTTTGAAAAGATCGAGATATGATATTTAGGCCATTTCGCCCAGCCCTAACTCAGAGCATGCACTGGCCCGCTGACATTTTCAACCTCTCCCTGACCCAGTTTGTAATACCTACATGTTTCAAGCTGACCACACTAGTCCCTGTGCCCAAGCACGCCATGTTAACAAGCCTAAATGACTACCGCCCTGTAGCATTTACATCTGTAGCCATGAAATGCTTTGAAAGGCTGGTCATAGCTCACATCAACACCATCATCCCAGAAACCCTGGACCAACTCCAATTCGCATACCGCCCCAACAGATACATAGATGACGTAATCTCTATAGCACTCCACACTGCACTTTCCCACCTGGACAAAAGGAACACCTACGTGAGAATGCTGTTCATTGACTACAGCTCAGCGTTAAACACCAGAGTGCCCTCCAAGCTCATCACTAAGCTAAGGACCCGGGGACTAAACACCTCCTTCTGCTACTCGATCCTGGACTCCCTGACGGGCCGCCCCCAAGTGGTGAGGGTAGGCAACAACACATCCGCCACACTGACCCTAAACACGGGGGCTCCTCAGTGTACTCCCTGTACATTTCACTTACCCCTCCGGTACGGCCCGTTCCTGCTCCCCGCACCAAGCCAGTGGTGCGTGTTCCCAGTCCGGCCCGGCCCGTTCCTGCTCCCCGCACCAAGCCAGTGGTGCGTGTTCCCAGTCCTGGCCCGGCCCGTTCCTGCTCCCCGCACCAAGCCAGTGGTGCGTGTTCCCAGTCCGGCCCGGCCCGTTCCTGCTCCTCGCACCAAGCCAGTGGTGCGTGTTCCCAGTCCGGCCCGGCCCGTTCCTGCTCCCTGCACCATGCCAGTGGTGCGTGTTCCCAGTCCGGCCCGGCCCGTTCCTGCTCCCCGCACCAAGCCAGTGGTGCGTGTTCCCAGTCCGGCCTGGCCCGTTCATGCTCCTCGCACCAAGCCAGTGGTGCGCATCTCCAGCCCGGTCCGGCCTGTTCCTGTCCCTCGCACCAAGCCAGTGGTGCGCGTCTCCAGCCCGGTCCGGCCTGTTCCTGTCACTCGCACCAAGCCAGTGGTGCGCGTCGCCAGCCTGGTCCGGCCTGTTCCTGCTCCTCGCATCAAGCCAGTGGTGCGTGTGTCCAGTCCGGCACGGCCCGTGCCTGTTCCACCGGTGCCTGGTCCGGCATCGGTCAGCTGCTCCACTCCGGAGCTAGAGCAGTCCGCTCCACCGGTGCCTGATCCAGCTCCGGTCAGCAGCTCCACGCCGGAGTCAGAGCAGTTCGCTCCACCATCGTCGGGTCCAGCTCCAGTCAGCGGTTCCAGTCCAGACCCAGACGTCAGCCCCTCTCTAGGTTCGGGGTCTCCCACACCAGGGTCCAGACAGGGCTTGGTACTTCGTGGGAAGAAGGAGAGGGGAAGCAGCGCGCCGAGGTCCAGAGCAGACCAGGGGCGCAACAGGGAGGCGGATAATAGGTGGTGGTCACGCCCGGAGGCGGAATGCCCACCCGGCCCCCACCCTGTTATGTTTAGGTTGCGCGGTCGGAGTCCACACATTTGGGGGGGGGGGGGTACTGTCACGCCCTGGCTCTGGGGACTCTTAAATGTTGAGCCAGGGTGTGTAGTTTCTATGTTGTGTTTTCTATGTTTAGTTTCTAGATCGTTTAGATCTATGTTGGCCAGGGTGGTTCCCAATCAGAGGCAGCTGTAGCTCGTTGTCTCTGATTGGGTACCATACTTAGGTAGCCTGTTGGCACTAGTGGGTTGTCGGATCTTGTTCCGTATAGGTTTGTTGTGTGTACCTTAAGACTTCACGTATCGTTTGTTTGTTGTTTTGTCGTGTTTGCACAGTTGTAATAAACATGTACGCTTATCACGCTGCGCCTTGGTCCTTCTTGTCCGTAAACGATCGTGACAAATTGATAATTGGGTGAGATATGGATGTATTGAAATACCTGTTCAGGCGCATTTTGGATTATCCTGCACTCTCTCCAAATCTGACCACCAAAACCTGGGGCATCTGACGTCACGTGATGGGAGCTCTCCAGTACACACATACCATGTAGCCTTTGCAATATTGTTGCCCTAGTTTAGAGCTCTGGATGACATACTGGATGACACACTTTCACACACTACTACCGGTATCCTTAATTCGAACAGGCACTGCTTTAAAATTGGATATTGATGATGCTTCAAAATACATTTTACAATAACACTTTGTCACAACCCCAATTCTGTCCAACAGGGACGTTTTTCAAATAGAAAACGCTGTATGTAGGCTAGATATTTATACTGGTTATATTTGACTGATACCACTTCATACAGTAATTGAGACCCAAGCCATTATGTGTTTAAAATGGTTCTACTGTCCTTCCTTTAGTTCATTTCCTGCCCATTTCTCTCACTGTGTGATGCCTGGTTCTCATTGTCATTGACTTCCCTTTTATAGCTCTGTGCTGAGAGTTTCTCAATCACTGCTCACAAATGTAATTTAAAACTGAGCTGTGAAGTAAAGGAAGCAGACCAGAACCTTTTCTACTTGTTGTTTTCAGACAGCCAAGAAACTGATGGGCAGCTTGAAATCATATGCCATGACCTTGACAGTATCAAGTGGTGAGATCCATCCTGCAATAAGAGAATAGCAGTGTGAGAATAGCATCTTAAAAACTCAATTCGTCCGAGGCCTCCCACAGTGAAAAAGCAGAAATTCACTACTTTAATTAATATGCTTGCTCTGCACTCATATTTAGGCTCACATTGAAGTGTTTTACCATTTTATTTTCAGGCCAACCAGGGCTACAAGCAGAACACAAAACAATTTGATATAAAAAGTTGTATTCATGAGTTTTATTGACAAATGTCAATAAACAAATAAGGTCCACCAAGCAAAAACCTGATAAATAATGCATTTATAAGAATGCTGTAAGTACAGAAATTGTTTGCTCAGTGGGAAATGGATGTCCAACTAGTCAGTGGCAACTGTGTGGAGTTTGGAGTTTGTGACAGCGACTATGTGAGCTTATTACAGTATTATAGACACTATGTGCTGGGATTTCCTATGATATTCTATGTAGAAGAACTTCTTACCTTCTAACGACTCTTGTGTGGCATGTGAGCGTCATAGAGCAAAACATTACATGTGCATTCGTGAGTCTCAGCTTTTCATAGTGGGGTCATAATAGTTTGTAGCTCAAACCGTTGCGACTTTACAGTCATTTTTGTGATCCAGTAAACACTCTACGTTGTGGTTCTCCCTCAGTCCAGTCCAGTCCAGTCCAGACGAGGCCACAGCCACAGTCGAAAAATGACTAGCTCCATAAAAAGTACTCCAGCAGCACATTACCTCCCTAGAGCATCTTCTCCAGACAGCTACATCATTCATCATGACTGTCTGTCGCCTCCACTTCCTCCAGACTCCTCCAATCACCACGGAAACACACACAGACCCCTTTGAATCACCATGAGACACGCTAGACTCAGAAGGAAGGAAGTATCATGTTGGCTTGTTAAATGGTTGTTTAGCCTATAGGGTCTTGGAGGCAATTAAACAGTTGCCTAGCACAGCAGGTCTGATACTGATATACCTTGGATATTACATGGGTGTTACAGCACACTGTTAAAGCGTGCTGGGCCCAGAAAGAATCTCTGCAAAGTGAAAGCCAATGCCAGACAGAACCATTGTCAAAATGTCAAACCCAAGGTAGCTAAAAGTATGACACGTGAGGTAAGAGGATATGGGTTTCGGCTTTGAAGTTAATTCGGATAACACCTTAGGCAGACCTTATTCAAAATCTCTAACTTTCTATTCATGCAGTATGATAAGATCAAAGTGTACTGTACAGCAATACAAGTGTGCACTATAACCGAAACCCTGTACTTTAAGTCCCGGTCAGTCTTGCATCTAGCCCATTTACTGTGTACTGGGCGCTAATGAGAACCCCAGTGGATAGGATGGGGATCAGCTGGCCAAGCTGGGACTCTGTAATGAACTCAGTCATGCAAGAGAGGATATAACACTCCAAAATGCTAATCTGACACAGTCAGGGACCATAACATCCCTTCCCTGGGTGGCTCTACTCTGCTGGATCCAGGGGCTAGTTTCACCTCTCAGTGACTGTACCTATTACTGTGATTGGTGTATAGCACTGCAACTGTTCTACAGTGTCTAGTTTAACAATCTACTCTACAGTGACCTGTTCTAAAGATCTAGTGTGACCCTGTTGGTGTCATTAACCTGCAGTGAGGTCGACCAAAAGGGACCATTCTGTCACACAGGGTCAACAGTGTGGCCCTGACTGTCTTCTAGGATCAGGGCCAGGGGCAGCTCCAGAGGGAGGAACTAAATCATATTAAGGTGAACAAACAAACCTCCAGTATACCAGAGGAACACAACCAAGGGTGGAATTGGGAAGGAACTCTTGGGAGTTCCCAATGTGAAATTATTTTGACATGTCAACATTAGTTGTTTTGTAAGAAGCAAAATGCTACGATTTTGCATTCCCAGAGTGAACTTTTGCCCAATCTGCACCTGAACACCTTGACTCCAGATGGTGTGACATATTGGCTTAGCGTCCAGCATCCGTCTGACTGCCTGAATCAGGGCAGAGTTGTCAAGAACCTCTAACATACTGCAAACGATTCTGTAATTCACATAGGAATAGGCGGTATAACATACATTTCATATCACGGTATATTCCAGATTGATTTACAATTCATTTCTATTTCACCAAATAAATGCATGAAGAAAACAGTACTATCCAGCTGCAAATCACCTGGAGGGGATAATGTCAATGCAATAGCAATCATTTCAGGACCACAACGAGGACAGCGATGGGTTTAGCTACTGAAACAGACACTCAAATTAGAGAGGAGCGCGTTCTCACCATGGCCGACTAGAAATGCACACTGTTGTTATTTCAGGACCACTGATTGGACAGCGTCATTAGGAAGGTTTGACTGGATGTGGCTCTCATTACCAGCACGGCTGTGAAACAATGTAAACCTAATTTCCAACAACGCATCCCTAAAAATGCACCACTACTGTACAAACATATGTTTTCTTAAACTCAATATTAGCATGAAACAGACAAAAATACCAATCAGGAAACGGGGCCTTTATGAAGTACAACCCCATATCAAATACTGTATTTCTTCTCCATGCTAACAATATTGAGTCAATTTGATTTAGGCCATTTTATGTATTCCGGATGAAGCAGAAAGACATTGTCAGTCCCCAGGCAATGTTAGGGAGAAACATCACTCAGTGTCACAGTGGATGGAGGCCTAATGATCTAGCTTCTCAGTCAGTTTGTTTCCTCTGGACGACTGGAAAGCATCACTAGCTATGCCACAGTAAATAGGGCAACACACATAGGACTGTTTAGCAGGCCGGTCGGAACGTCTTGGTCTCAGACGGGTGTGTAAAATGCCAATACTGTTGGTTGAACAGATTAACGCATCACTTGCTGAACAAATTAATTGTTTAGTTTGCTAGAAAAGGATGTCCACCTTAAAAGTGTGTCCATCAATCATTCGTAATACCTAGGTCAGGGATGGGCAACTTTGATGGGGGTGGGGGCCACAAAACATATGAACTCACCATGAGAGGCTGCATTTGCTCGCGGGTTTGCGCCTCCCCCCCCCCCGAGAGAAGATGTTGCAATTTCATAACTAATTTCATGTAATTCTACTGGTTTTGCAATGGGGCGGAGAGGAAAATTTGCTGTTTTAGAGCTAATATTCTGCAATTATACACATTTTGCCATAGGGGGGAGAGAAATGTTTGCAGTTTTTACAGTTTTTAATATGATATCTGATTGAGACTGACTAACAAAATCATTGGGGTGTGGGGGGGGATTTATCTGAGGGCCTACAAAACGGGTCCTTTACCCACCCCTGACCTCGGGCTTATACTGTGCAGTTGGCTGTGACTTTCAGTAGAGCTGAAACGACACCTTCCACAACAGAGGATCATGTCCAGTCAACACAGAACTACACAACATTTCCGTCTGAGTTCTAGCCTGTTCCCAAATCTGTTTTGCAGTCGTGCCATTTACATTTACATTTTAGTCATTTAGCAGACGCTCTTATCCAGAGCGACTTACAGTTAGTGAGTGCATACATTTATTTTTTTTTCATACCATGAGCATAGGAGTTGGCGAGACAGCACAAACAAATATGGAACTAGGCTAATGATGTTCCACTCTCCTGAGTAAATCCCTGATATCAAGAGAAACACATTTACGCTCATCTCCATTCATGTCAATCTCAGGTACCAGATCCACCAGCCCGTTACCTTACTAAACATGACTGAATTGCGACCCAAGTCCAAGAGTTAATGTTTAAGACTATGTGTCAGAGACTCATCCGGAGACATGGAGACACTCAGCCAGGCGAAATGAACTTCCCTATGGATACAAAAGGGTAATGAATAATTTATTAACCTCTCACAGTGTAAGGGAATTGCCAGAGCCAGGAAAGCCAGTGTATCACGATGAGATGAGAGTGGATTTAAACACAGAGTTTCTTGTGCCTCAGTGGTTATGCTTTATATTATACCTGCTATCTATCTGCCTCTAGATTACACTCTTCTCTATCACACTCTATAATACTCACTTATCTGGAGAACAGGTAGGTGGCAGGTAGCCTAGCAGTTAAGAGTGTTGGAACAGTAACCGAAAGGTTGCTGATTCAAATTCCTAAGCCAAATAGGTGAAAAAATCTGTCGATATGCCCTCGAGCAAGGCATTTAACCCTAATTCAGGGTTTTCCAAACTTGGTCCTGGTGACCCCAAGAGGTGAACACTTTGGTTTTTGCCCTAGCACTACACAGCTGATTCAAATAATCAACTAATCATCAAGCTTTGATTACTTGAATCAGCTGTGTAGTGCTAGGGCATAAATCAAAGTGTCCCCAGGACTGAGTTTGGGAAAAGCTGTCCTAATTGCTCCTGTAAGCCGCTCTGGATAAGAGTGTCTGCTAAATGACAAAACAATGTTTTTTCATTTATTAATATTTTTTATGCACAGAGAACAGAGAATAGCCTGCTCCCTGTGAACCTGGCTGTTATATTTACCACTATGGAGTAAAACTGGGTTCAAACACTATTTGAAATCTGTTTGTGTTAGACTGCCTGGAGTGCCAGTTGGGTTGCGTTTGCAGTTTTATGACTCTTCTATTTTAATCATAATTGAACCCAGGTCTGCTATGGAGCATGAGCAACCTACCCTGCCAGGTCTAGGATCCAGCTGAAACAGCCCTACCCATGTGAGGCTCACAGGTTTACACCCTTTTCACATTACGCATAGTTGCTGGAACTGTGCTGGAAAGGGCAATGTGAAAAGAAAACATCACAGCCAGCACAGCCCTGCCCATGGGAGGCACACAGCAGCTTTAGACAGTGCTCTGTGCTCTCATCTCCATCCAGATGATCTATGGATCTGTTCATCTGCTCTGCTATCTTGCATTATTGATAAGGAGTGTGGTGAATGTGATTATTAATAGATTTAAAGTGGAACTTACAGCATTTTAGCAACATCTTATTACAATCTGCTCATATACACCCCCAGGAAGAATATGACACATTTTTTTACATTTTCTGACAAGCGATATGGTCATTTTCAAATTTTCATAAATTCATAAAATGTTTGGGAATTACGTATACTAAGGCATTTGTGAAAATTCTATAGCAATATAGAGTGGGAAAGCAGCCATGCGTTTGGACAATTAATAGACACTGTCCAGGACCGGAGTCTACGCAGACCTGTGCGCCATAGCCAATCAGAGCTACAGTAAGCCTATATGCAAATAAGCTATTTGCCACAAGGGCCTGCCATCATTCACTTTGAACTGGACTGTGTGCTTACAGGCAGTAGCAACTTTAGATTATTAGAACGCATTCGCCAAAAACCACAAAATACACCTGAATGTATTTCTGCAAATATGTAAATACCACGGGAGTCCTCTTACATTTGGGAACCTTCACAATCCTATTGATCAAATGACCATGAAAAGGTAAGCTCTCTCTCCCTCAGTTGCCTATGCACATCAACAACAACAAGATCAACAACTAACGCTAGCCAGAGCAAGATGAGCTAAAATCGAATGAGGTAACCCTATCAAACTTTTTCAGCTAGTTGGCCATCAAAATTGCACTGATAAATGATGGGGAATAGTAGCCTGCTCATCCTTCTGCAGCTTGCCTGCCAATGCATGCTTGTCCCAACACGTTTTGACAACTGAATGGGAACTTGGCTGCCTACCCGCCCATTTGATCAATGCCAAATACATTTGATTGACAACTAAGAGATATGCTAACTGTGGATAACAGTCGTTCAAGTTCAACATAGCTAGCTCGCTAGCTTAGCGATTCACATTTCTTGCTAGCTAACCAAATGACACTTGCAGCATTTCTAGCTGTAGCCACGAAAAACAATAAAACGTCATTCACTCACCCACTCCGCCAATGACATGACACCTCCCAGCAGCTAGCTAACTAGCTAACATTAGGCTCTATGTTTTTAGCTTGCTAAATAAATAGCTAGTTACATAAATAGATACGCTAGCACAGGGATGTCAAACTCAATCAGCGCAAGGGCTATATTGAAAAAACACAACGAATTCGCAGACCAGACAAAGCCTATTTGTTTTTACAAAAAAACTTGCAACTGCGATCCTAACTGGCCATTGTTTTATTTGAAAACATATGGCCCTTTATAATGTCCACTATTCTGACCCCTTGACTTTTTCCACATTTTGTGGTTTAAATGGATTAAATGGTTTTTTACCCCTCATCAATCTACACACAATACCCCATAATGACAAAGCAGAAACAGGTTTTTAGAAATGTTTGCAAATGTATTAAAAATAAAAAACTTCAATATCAAATTTACAAAAGAATTCAGATCCTTTACTCAGTACTTTGTTGAAGCACCTATGGCAGCGATTACAGCCTTGAGTTATCTTGGGTATGACGCTACAAGGTTAGAACATCTGTATTTGGGTAGATTCTCCCATTCTTCTCTGCAGATCCTCTCAAGCTCTGATGGGGAAAGTCGCTGGACAGCTATTTTCAGGTCTCTCCAGAGAAGTTCGATCGGGTTCAAGTCCGGGCTCTGGCTGGGCCACTCAAGGACATTCAGAGACTTGTCCCGAAGCCATTCCTGGGTTGTCTTGGCTGTGTGCTTAGGGTCGTTATCCTGTTGGAAGGTGAACCTTCGCCCCAGTCTGAGGTCCTGAGCGCTCCGGAGCAGGTTTTCATCAAGGATCTCTCTATACTTTGCTCCATTCATCTTTCCCTCAAACCTGACTAGTCTCCCAGTCCCTGCAACTGAAAAACATCCTCACAGCATGATGCTGCCACCACCATGCTTCACCGTAGGGATGGTGCCAGGTTTCCTCCAGAGGTGACGCTTGGCAGTCAGGCCAAAGAGTTCAATCTTGGTTTCATCAGACCAGAGAATATTGTTTGTCATTGTCTGAGAGTCCTTTAGGTGCCTTTTGGCAAACTCTAAGTGGGCTGTCATGTGCCTTTTACTGAAGAGTGGCTTCCTTCTGGCCACTCTACCATAAAGGCCTGATTGGTTGAGTGCTGCAGAGATGGTTGTCCTTATGGAAGTTTCTCCCATCTCCACAGGGGAACTCTAGAACTCTGTCAGAATGACCATCGGGTTCTTGGTCCCCTCCCTGACCAATGCCCTTCTCCCCTGATTGCCAGTTTTGCCGTCGGCCAGCTCTAGGAAGAGTCTTGGTGGTTCCAAACTTCTTCCATTTAAGAATGATGGAGGCCACTGTGTTCTTGGGGACCTTCAATGCTGCAGAAATGTTTTGGTACCCTTCTCCAGATCTGTGCCTCGACACAATCCTGTCTCTGAGCTCTACGGACAATTCCTTGGCTTGGTTTTTGCTCTGACATGCACTGTCAACTGTGGGACCATACAGTGCCTTGCAAAAGTATTCATCCCCCTTGGCGTCATTTTTTAATGGATTTTTATTTGCATTTCATGTAATTAACTAGTCCAAATTGGTGAAGTGGAATGAAAATAATAACGTGTTTCAAAAAATTCTAAAAAATAAATAACTGAAAAGTGGTGCGTGCATATGTATTCACCCTCTTTACTATGAAGCCCCTAAATAAGATCTGGTGCAACCAATTCCCTTCAGAAGTCACATAATTAGTTAAATAAAGTCCACCTGTGTGCAATCTAAGTGTCACATGATCTGTCACATGATCTCAGTATATATACACCTGTTCTGAAAGGCCCCAGAGTCTGCAACACCACTAAGCAAGGGGCACCACCAAGCAAGCAGCACCATGAAGACCAAGGAGCTCTCCAAACAGGTCAGGGACAAAGTTGTGGAGAAGTACAGATCAGGGTTGGGTTATAAAAAAAATATCAGAAACTTTGAACATCCCACGGAGCACCATTAAATCCATTATTAAAAAAATTGAAAGAATATGGTACCACAACAAACCTGCCAAGAGAGGGCCGCCCACCAAAACTCATGGACCAGGCAAGGAGGGCATTAATCAGAGATGCAACAAAGAGACCAAAGATAACCCTGAAGGAGCTGCAAAGCTCCACAGCGGAGATTGGAGTATCTGTCCATAGGACCACTTTAAGCCGTACACTCCACAGAGCTGGGCTTTACGGAAGAGTGGCCAGAAAAAAGCCATTGCTTAAAGAATAAAATAAGCAAACACGTTAGGTGTTCGCCAAAAGCCATGTGGGAGACTCCCCAAACATATGGAAGAAGGTACTCTGGTCAGATGAGACTAAAATTTAGCTTTTTGGCCATCAAGGAAAACGCTATGTCTGGCGCAAACACAACACCTCTCATCACCCCGAGAACACCTGCACATTAGAGGCTGCTGCCTATAGACATAGACTAGAAATCACTGGCCACTTTAAGAAATGAAACACTAGCCACTTTCATAATGTTTACATATCTTGCATTACTCATCTCATATGTATATACTGTATTCTATACTATTCTACGGGATCTTAGTCTCTTTAATAATGTTTACATTTCTTGCATTACTCATCTCATGTGTATATACTGTATTCTATACTATTCTACTGTATCTTAGTCCATGCCGCTCTGACATCGCTCGTCCATACAGTGGGGAAAAAAAGTATTTAGTCAGCCACCAATTGTGCAAGTTCTCCCACTTAAAAAGATGAGAGAGGCCTGTAATTTTCATCATAGGTACGTCAACTATGACAGACAAAATGTTTTTAAAAAATCCAGAAAATCACATTGTAGGATTTTTTATGAATTTATTTGCAAATTATGGTGGAAAATAAGTATTTGGTCACCTACAAACAAGCAAGATTTCTGGCTCTCACAGACCTGTAACTTCTTCTTTAAGAGGCTCCTCTGTCCTCCACTCGTTACCTGTATTAATGGCACCTGTTTGAACTTGTTATCAGTATAAAAGACACCTGTCCACAACCTCAAACAGTCACACTCCAAACTCCACTATGGCCAAGACCAAAGAGCTGTCAAAGGACACCAGAAACAAAATTGTAGACCTGCACCAGGCTGGGAAGACTGAATCTGCAATAGGTAAGCAGCTTGGTTTGAAGAAATCAACTGTGGGAGCAATTATTTGGAAATGGAAGACATACAAGACCACTGATAATCTCCTTCGATCTGGGGCTCCACGCAAGATCTCACCCCGTGGGGTCAAAATGATCACAAGAACGGTGAGCAAAAATCCCAGAACCACACGGGGGGACCTAGTGAATGACCTGCAGAGAGCTGGGACCAAAGTAACAAAGCCTACCATCAGTAAAACACTACGCCGCCAGGGAATCAAATCCTGCAGTGCCAGACGTGTCCCCCTGCTTAAGCCAGTACATGTCCAGGCCCGTCTGAAGTTTGCTAGAGTGCATTTGGATGATCCAGAAGAGGATTGGGAGAATGTCATATGGTCAGATGAAACCAAAATAGAACTTTTTGGTAAAAACTCAACTCGTCGTGTTTGGAGGACAAAGAATGCTGAGTTGCATCCAAAGAACACCATACCTACTGTGAAGCATGGGGGTGGAAACATCATGCTTTGGGGCTGTTTTTCTGCACAGGGACCAGGACGACTGATCCGTGTAAAGGAAAGAATGAATGGGGCCATGTATCGTGAGATTTTGAGTGAAAACCTCCTTCCATCAGCAAGGGCATTGAAGGTGAAACGTGGCTGGGTCTTTCACCATCACAATGATCCCAAACACACCGCCCAGCCAATGAAGGAGTGGCTTCGTAAGAAGCATTTCAAGGTCCTGGAGTGGCCTAGCCAGTCTCCAGATCTCAACCCCATAGAAAATATTTGGAGGGAGTTGAAAGTCTGTGTTGCCCAGCGACAGCCCCAAAACATCACTGCTCTAGAGGAGATCTGCATGGAGGAATGGGCCAAAATACCAGCAACAGTGTGTGAAAACCTTGTGAAGACTTACAGAAAACATTTGACCTGTGTCATTGCCAACAAAGGGTATATAACAAAGTATTGAGAAACTTTTGTTATTGACCAAATACTTATTTTCCACCATAATTTGCAAATAAATTCATAAAAAATCCTACAATGTGATTTTCTGGAAAAAATTTTTCTCATTTTGTCTGTCATAGTTGACGTGTACCTATGATGAAAATTACAGGCCTCTCTCATCTTTTTAAGTGGGAGAACTTGCACAATTGGTGGCTGACTAAATACCTTTTTTCCCCACTGTATATGTATATATTCTTAATTCATTCCTTACTTAGATTTGTCTGTATTGGGTATAATTGTGAAATTGTTAGATATTACTTGTTAGATATTACTGCACTGTCGGAGCTAGAAGCACAAGCATTTCGCTACACCCGCAATAACATCTGCTAAACACGTGTATGTGACCAATACCATTTGATTTGATTTGATTTAACAAAAACTTCGCTATAGGCTGTTGTAACATTTAAACTTAAAACATGTTTAGAAAAAATTTGCACTGCAAGGATCACTGGTGCGGTTGAATGCAGCATTGCTGTATGGTGCACTCAAAATGTATTGTAGTTGAGTAGCCAACTTAGGCTACTGCTCAAATCTTGCTCTAATAGGCCTACATCATATGTCAAACTCATTCCAAAGAGGGCTGAGTGTCTGCAGGCTTTTGCTCCACCCTTATACTTGATGGATGAATTAAGGTCACTAATTAGTAAGGAACTCCCCTCACCTGGTTGTCTAGGTCTTAATTGAAAGGAAAACCCAAAAACTGACACTCTGCCATCTGTGGAATGAGTTTAACACCCCTGGCCTACATGTTTCTCTTTTGCATTGTGTTGCAGGTTTAGTTTTTTGGTTATTCATTGTCAAGCTTTAAAAACCGAGGCCAGACTGCAACATTTTAGTAGCCTAGCTAGGACTGTGGCATGTGTCTGTACACTTTCCCTCCTCTGCACGCTGTAAACAGGACACACGAAAGCAGCACAATTGAAGTTGAATTCACCTATGCGAGCGCATCAGGCTATAATTTCATAAAGTAGATGACTCAATTGTTGACTCATTGCTTGCTGTATCTCATGGAATTTTGATAGAACCTATTTTTAAAACCTCTCATAAAGTTGGTTTTGAAGCATAAACTGGGAATTTGATATTTTTCACTGATATTATGATTGTCTGTTTCATATCTGCAAAGTAGTTCAAACGCTGTCAGTTCCACTTTAAAAATTAATCAGCTCTTCCTTCATTAGTAAAATTACATTACCCTGTTGTGGCAAAGGAAGTCTTGTAGGATGGAAATTATGGAGGTATGTAAAAGAGCTACATTGCGTGACTATATTGTATGCATTAAGCCTGTCGTGTGTGTTGTGTGGTGGGGCTGGTTAGGGTACTGGACACATTTCTATTGTCTCTGTATAATGGAGCGATGAAGATGTATTTGTTTTGTATGGTAGAAAGAAAGCATCCAGTGGGTTGGGGAAAAAACCTTATGCTGTCTGATGGCATCTAAGTGAGCTGTGGAGGACCTACAGTGCCTATTGAAAGTTTACAAACCCCTTGTACATTTTGCTGCCTAAAAATGTAGTCTAAAAATTGATTGAATTAGATTTTGTTCTTACTGATGTACACAACCTATTCCACATTTTAAAAGTGATTTTTTTAAAAATAGAAAATCTTCCAAATGAATAATAAAATACAAAAACTTGTCTTGAGTGCGTATGACTTCACACCCTAGTGTAAATACTTGTTGGAAGCACCTTTGGCAGCCATTACAGCTGTGAATCATTTTGAATAAGATTCTACCAACTTTGCACAACTCTTAGGGAAATGTATACCCATTGTTTTAGTCCAAATTGATCAAGCTCAGTAAATTTGTTTGAGAGTCATTGATGGACAGCAATATTAAAACCTTGTCTCTGATTACTTTTTGGCCTAAATTAAAAACCACAGGCTTGGGTCAAATCCAATACCACACAACACAGCGTGAAACCCTTTGTATTTTCAAGTATTGTGGTGGCAGCATCGTGTTATGGGTATGCTTGTCACCAGCAGGGACTGGGAAGTTTGTCAGGATTTGATTCGATTTTATCTGTATAAATAAAGATTGATTTGTCAGGATCAAAAAAAATTATGAAAGGAGGAAAGCCCAGTTAAAAAGTTTGAGGAAACCCTGCCTTAGTGGGATAGAGTTTTCAGCAGGTCAATTACACAAATTTTAATGCCAAAGACACACCAGAATGGTTTTCCAATAGCTGTTGAGTGTTCCTGGATGGTCCAATCTCAGTCCTGACTTAAACCTGCTTGAAAAAACGATGGGTATATGCTGCCCTATGAGTTGTACAAAGTTGGTAGAATCTTATTCAAAATGGTTTACAGCTGTAATGGCTGCCAAACGTGTTTTCACCAAGTATTAATTCTGTGGTGTGAAGACATACGCAAACAAATTATACAATTGTTCTTTCACTTTGATAATGTGGAGTAGGTTGTGTAGATCAGCAGGAAAAAAAATAGGGTGCAGGCCAGGCAGCAGGCTGTTAGCCAACCTGCCAGCTTAGTGGAGTCTGCCAATAGCATAGTCAGTGTAGTCAGCTCAGCCATACCCATTGAGACTGTGTCTGTGCCTCGACCTAGGTTGGGCAAAACTAAACATGGCGGTGTTCGCCTTAGCAATCTTATTAGGATAAAGACCTCCTCCATTCCTGCCATTATTGAAAGAGATCGTGATACCTCACATCTCAAAATAGGGTTACTTAATGTTAGATCCCTCACTTCAAAGGCAGTCATAGTCAATGAACTAATCACTGATCATAATCTTGATGTGATTGGCCTGACTGAAACATGGCTTAAGCCTGATGAATTTGCTGTGTTAAATGAGGCCTCACCTCCTGGTTACACTAGTGACCATATTCCCCGTGCATCCCGCAAAGGCGGAGGTGTTGCTAACATTTACGATAGCAAATTTCAATTTACAAAAAAAAAAAATGGCGTTTTCGTCTTTTGAGCTTCTAGTCATGAAATCTATGCAGCCTACTCAATCACTTTTTATAGCTACTGTTTACAGGCCTCCTGGGCCATATACAGCGTTCCTCTCTGAGTTTCCTGAATTCCTATCAGACCTTGTAGTCATAGCAGATCATATTCTAATTTTTGGTGATTTTAATATTCACATGGAGAAGTCCACAGACCCACTCCAAAAGTCTTTCGGAGCCATCATCGACTCAGTGGGTTTTGTCCAACATGTCTCTGGACCTACTCACTGCCACAGTCATACTCTGGACCTAGTTTTGTCCCATGGAATAAATGTTGTAGATCTTAATGTTTTTCCACAAAATCCTGGACTATCGGACCACCATTTTATTACGTTTGCAATCGCAACAAATAATCTGCTCAGACCCCAACCAAGGAGCATCAAAAGTCGTGCTATAAATTCTCAGACAACACAAAAATTCCTTGATGCCCTTCCAGACTCCTTCTGCCTACCCAAGGACGTCAGAGGACAAAAATCAGTTAACCACTTAACTGAGGAACTCAATTTAACCTTGCGCAATACCCTAGATGCAGTTGCACCCCTAAAAACGAAAAACATTTGTCTTAAGAAACTAGCTCCCTGGTATACAGAAAATACCCGAGCTTTGAAGCAAGCTTCCAGGAAATTGGAACGGAAATGGCGCCACACCAAACTGGAAGTCTTCCGACTAGCTTGGAAAGACAGTACCGTGCAGTACCGAAGAGCCCTCACTGCTGCTCGATCATCCTACTTTGTCCTACATGTTCAACATGGCCCTCCTATGTTGAACATAATAAACAGCTCTCTATCCACCGGATGTGTACCAAACTCACTAAAAGTGGCAGTGATAAAGCCTCTCTTGAAAAAGCCAAACCTTGACCCGGAAAATATAAAAAACTATCGGCCTATATCGAATCTTCCATTCCTCTCAAAAATTTTAGAAAAAGCTGTTGCGCAGCAACTCACTGCCTTTCTGAAGACAAACAATGTATACGAAATGCTTCAGTCTGGTTTTAGACCCCATCATAGCACTGAGACTGCACTTGTGAAGGTGGTAAATGACCTTTTAATGGCGTCAGACCGAGGCTCTGCATCTGTCCTCGTGCTACTAGACCTTAGTGCTGCCTTTGACACCATCGATCACCACATTCTTTTGGAGAGACTGGAAACCCAAATTGGTCTACACGGACAAGTTCTGGCCTGGTTTAGATCTTACCTGTCGGAAAGATATCAGTTTGTCTCTGTGAATGGTCTGTCCTCCGACAAATCAACTGTACATTTCGGTGTTCCTCAAGGTTCCGTTTTAGGACCACTATTGTTTTCACTATATATTTTACCTCTTGGGGATGTTATTCGAAAACATAATGTTAACTTTCACTGCTATGCGGATGACACACAGCTGTACATTTCAATGAAACATGGTGAAGCCCCAAAATTGCCCTCGCTAGAAGCCTGTGTTTCAGACATAAGGAAGTGGATGGCTGAAAACTTTCTACTTTTAAACTCGGACAAAACAGAGATGCTTGTTCTAGGTCCCAAGAAACAAAGAGATCTTCTGTTAAATCTGACAATTCGTCTTGATGGTTGTAAAGTCGTCTCAAATAAAACTGTGAAGGACCTCGGCGTTACTCTTGACCCTGATCTCTCTTTTGACGAACATATCAAGACTGTTTCAAGGACAGCTTTTTTCCATCTACGTAACATTGCAAAAATCAGAAATTTTCTGTCCAAAAATGATGCAGAAAAATTTAATCCATGCATTTGTTACTTCTAGGTTAGACTACTGCAATGCTCTACTTTCCGGCTACCCGGATAAAGCACTAAATAAACTTCAGTTAGTGCTAAATACGGCTGCTAGAATCCTGACTAGAACCAAGAAATTTGATCATATTACTCCAGTGCTAGCTTCCCTACACTGGCTTCCTGTTAAGGCAAGGGCTGATTTCAAGGTTTTACTGTTAACCTATAAAGCGTTACATGGGCTTGCTCCTACCTATCTTTCCGAGTTGGTCCTGCCGTACATACCAATACGTACGCTACGGTCACAAGACGCAGGCCTCCTAATTGTCCCTAGAATTTCTAAGCAAACAGCGGGAGGCAGGGCTTTCTCCTATAGATCTCCATTTTTATGGAACAGTCTGCCTACCCATGTGAGAGACGCAGACTCGGTCTCAACCTTTAAGTCTTTACTGAAGACTTATCTCTTCAGTAGGTCATATGATTGAGTGTAGTCTGGCCCAGGAGTGTGAAGGTGAACGGAAAGGCTCTGGAGCAACGAACAGCCCTTGCTGTCTCTGCCAGGCCGGTTCCCCTCTCTCCACTGGGGTTCTCTGCCTCTAACCCTGTTACAGGGGCTGAGTCACTGGCTTGCTGGTGCTCTTTCATGCCGTCCCTAGGAGGGGTGCGTCACTTGAGTGGGTTGAGTTACTGACGTGATCTTCCTGTCTGGGTTGGCGCCCCCCCTTGGTTTGTGCTGTGGTGGAGACCTCTGTGGGCTATACTCGGCCTTGTCTCAGGATTGTAAGTTGGTGGTTGAGGATATCCCTCTAGTGGTGCGGGGGCTGTGCTTTGGCAGAGTGGGTGGGGTTATATCCTTCCTGTTTGGCCCTGTCCGGGGGTTTCTTCGGATGGGGCCACAGTGTCTCCGGACCGCTCCTGTCTCAGCCTCCAGTATTTATGCTGCAGTAGTTTATGTGTCGGGGGGCTGGGGTTAGTTGGTTATACCTGGAGTACTTCTCCTGTCTTATCCAGTGTCCTGTGTGAATTTAAGTATGCTCTCTCTAATTCTCTCGTTCTCTCTTTCTCTCTGAGAACCTGAGCCCTAGGACCATACGTCAGGACTACCGGGCATGCTGACACCTTGCTGTCCCCAGTCCGCCTGGCCTTGCTGCTATTCCAGTTTCAACTGTTCTGCCTGCGGTTACGAAACCCCTACCTGTCCCAGACCTGCTGTTTTCAACTCTTAATGATCGGCTATGAAAAGCCAACTGAGAGACCTGAGCCCTAGGACCATACGTCGGGACTACCGGCCGTGGTGACTCCTTGCTGTCCCCAGTCCGCCTGGCCTTGCTGCTATTCCAGTTTCAACTGTTCTGCCTGCGGTTATGGAACCCCTACCTGTCCCAGACCTGCTGTTTTCAACTCTTAATGATCGGCTATGAAAAGCCAACTGAGATTTATTCCTGATTATTATTTGACCATGCTTGTCACTTATGAACATTTTTGAACATCTTGGCATGGTTCTGTTATAACCTCCACCCGGCACAGCCAGAAGAGGACTGGCCACCCCTCATAGCCTGGTTCCTCTCTAGGTTTCTTCCTAGGTTTTGGCCTTTCTAGGGAGTTTTTCCTAGCCACCGTGCTTCTACACCTGCATTACTAGCTGTTTGGGGTTTTAGGCTGGGTTTCTGTACAGCACTTCGAGATATTAGCTGATGTACGAAGGGCTATATAAAATAAAATTGATTGATTGATTGATTGATCTAATTCATTCCCTTTTTGGATTTCATTTTAAGGCAGCAAAATGTGAAGACTAGTGTAAGGGATGTGCAGAGTTTCACTATGGACTCTAGGTCTATGTGGAGGATTAACTAGATTGTGTGCTTCAATATTATATGATAGAAAGGATCCAGTGTTGGTGGGAAAACCCTTATAAGCTCCGTTGTTGTGGAATACATTCTAAGTGAGCTGTAGAGGTGGTGTGACATCCAACCGTTTGTCACAGCGATGCAGAGCCACCAGGATTTCCTCCAGATTAAAAGTGCCATCCCGTAAAACCCTCTCCGCCTCCGTTGCTATGGAGGCCCTGCTTGGAAACACCATGGGACCTTCCACCAGTATAACAGTGATGGAAAAAAAATGGCTTGCCTTCATAATATTGCATGTTTGAAAAATGCTGCTGTTCTAAAAACTCACTAAAGAAACGAATAAATTAGAGCCGTACTGTGAATTCCTGGTAGGCTGCATGGTCCGCTGGGAATAGTAGACTTAGACGAACTAAACCAGATCTGTACATTCAAAGTAGAAACACCCCACTGGGCACAGATGGCAGTTCAACGTCTATTTTTTTTAATTTACATTTGGTTGAGTTGTCAACTAACGTGAATTCAATGTGAAATTAACAACAAAACTTACAATGTCATTGGATTTAGGTTAAAAGTTGGTTGAAAAAAATATGAATTTCCCTTACATTGATCCAATCAGATTTCCACGGTCATTCAATGTCATCACATAGATTTTTTGGGTTGAAATGATGTGGAATCAACGTTGATTCAACCAGTTTTTGCCCAGTGGGACACACTTTCCTGAGTGAGTGAATGTGTCTAACAGAAGAAGGATGTTCCTAACACCAGGTACTGCTGTGCTGCCTCCCTTTACTGTTCTACTCCATGTACTAAAGCCCTTCCTTTAATTTTTGAAGGTCATGCTCAAATGCTACAACATTCACGTATATACACAGTTACAACATGGAACAGAAACTATGTGCACGTGCTGTTCAAAGCTTAATGCAAAGGATATGTACAGTACTAAATAAGTAACCAAATGAACCAATTTCCCCTCAGGGATTAATAAAGTAGTTAGTATCCTAAGGGTGGTGTTGGTATACACTTTTAGATCAAAGGGTTCTAAAAGGGTTCAGAGGCTGTCCGCATAGGAGAACCATTTTTGGTTCCAGATAGAACCGTTTTTTGGTTCCAGGTAGAACTCTTTTGGGTTACATCTAGAACCCTCTGTACAGTTGGGGAAAAAAAGTATTTAGTCAGCCACCAATTGTGCAAGTTCTCCCACTTCAAAAGATGAGAGAGGCCTGTAATTTTCATCATAGGTACACGTCAACTATGACAGACAAAATGAGAAAATGTTTTCCAGAAAATCACATTGTAGGATTTTTAATGAATTTATTTGCAAATTATGGTGGAAAATAAGTATTTGGTTAATAACAAAAGTTTCTCAATACTTTGTTATATACCCTTTGTTGGCAATGACACAGGTCAAACGTTTTCTGTAAGTCTTCACAAGGTTTTCACACACTGTTGCTGGTATTTTGGCCAATTCCTCCATGCAGATCTCCTCTAGAGCAGTGATATTTTGGGGCTGTCGCTGGGCAACACGGACTTTCAACTCCCTCCAAAGATTTTCTATGGGGTTGAGATCTGGAGACTGGCTAGGCCACTCCAGGACCTTGAAATGCTTCTTACGAAGCCACTCCTTCGTTGCCCGGGCGGTGTGTTTGGGATCATTGTCATGCTGAAAGACCCAGCCACGTTTCATCTTCAATGCCCTTGCTGATGGAAGGAGGTTTTCACTCAAAATCTCACGATACATGGCCCCATTCATTCTTTCCTTTACACGGATCAGTCGTCCTGGTCCCTTTGCAGAAAAACAGCCCCAAAGCATGATGTTTCCACCCCCATGCTTCACAGTAGGTATGGTGTTCTTTGGATGCAACTCAGCATTCTTTGTCCTCCAAACACGACGAGTTGAGTTTTTACCAAAAAGTTCTATTTTGGTTTCATCTGACCATATGACATTCTCCCAATCCTCTTCTGGATCATCCAAATGCACTCTAGCAAACTTCAGACGGGCCTGGATATGTACTGGCTTAAGCAGGGGGACACGTCTTGCACTGCAGGATTTGAGTCCCTGGCGGCGTAGTGTGTTACTGATAGTAGGCTTTGTTACTTTGGTCCCAGCTCTCTGCAGGTCATTCACTAGGTCCCCCCGTGTGGTTCTGGGATTTTTGCTCACCGTTTTTGTGATCATTTTGATTCCACGGGGTGAGATCTTGCGTGGAGCCCCAGATCGAGGGAGATTATCAGTCTTGTATGTCTTCCATTTCCTAATAATTGCTCCCACAGTTGATTTATTCAAACCAAGCTGCTTACCTATTGCAGATTCAGTCTTCCCAGCCTGGTGCAGGTCTACAATGTTGTTTCTGGTGTCCTTTGACAGCTCTTTGGTCTTGGCCATAGTGGAGTTTAGAGTGTGACTGTTTGAGGTTGTGGACAGGTGTCTTTTATACTGATAACAAGTTCAAACAGGTGCCATTAATACAGGTAACGAGTGGAGGACAGAGGAGCCTCTTAAAGAAGAAGTTACAGGTCTCTGAGAGCCAGAAATCTTGCTTGTTTGTAGGTGACCAAATACTTATTTTCCACCATAATTTGCAAATAAATTCATTAAAAATCCTACAATGTGATTTTCTGTATTTTTTTTTCTCAATTTGTCTGTCATAGTTGACGTGTACCTATGATGAAAATTACAGGCCTCTCTCATCTTTTTAAGTGGGAGAACTTGCACAATTGGTGGCTGACTAAATACTTTTTTCCCCCACTGTATAAAGGTTTCTACCTGGAACCCAAAAGGGTTCTACCTGGAACCAAAAGGGTTCTACCTGGAACCAAAAGGGGTTCTTCAAAGGGTTCTCCTATTGGGACAGACGAAAAACACCTTTTTGGTTCTAGATAGCACCTTTTTGTGTACAGTTGTCCCATCTGTGCTTAGATAATGATGGGACAGATAGTGATCACGCTCTCCGTAGCTGATGTGAGTAAGACCTTTAAACAGGTTAACATTCACAAGGCTGGGGACTATCGTCCCATAGCACTCACATCTGCCATGACATTTTTTGAAAGGCTGGTCATGGCTCACATCAACACTATCATTCCAGACACCCTGGACCCACTCCAATTTGCATACCGCCCCAACAGATCCACAGATGACGCACTCTCTATTGCACTCCACACTGCCCTCTCCCACCTGGGCAAGAGAAATGCCTATGTGAGAATGCTGCTCATTGACTACAGCTCAGCATTCAACACAATAGTGCCCTCCAAGCTCATCACTAAGCTAAGAACCTTGGGAATGAACACCTCCCCCTGCAATTGGATCCTGGACTTCCTGACGGGCCGCCCCCAGGTGGTGAGGGTAGGCAACAACACATCCGCTACACTGACCCTCAACACAGGGGCCCCTCAGGGGTGCATGATTAGTCCCCTCCTGTACTCCCTGTTCACCCACAACTGCGGGCCACGCATGACTCTAACACCATCAATAAGTTTGCTGACGACATGACGGTGGTAGGACTGATCACCAACAATGAGACAGCCTATAGGGAAGAGGTCAGTGACCTGGCAGTGTGGTGCCAGGACAACAACCTCTCCCTCAACGTCAGCAAGACAAAGGAGCTGATCGTGGACTACAGGAAATGGAGGGCCGAGCACGCCCCCATTCACATCGATGGGGCTGTACTGGAGCGGTTCGAGAGCTTCAAGTTCCTCGGTGTCCACATCACTAACGATCTATCATGGTCCACACACACCAACACAGTTATGAAGAGGGCACGACAACACCTCTTCTCCCTCAGGATGCTGAAAATATTTGCCAAGGGCCCTCAGATCCTCAAAAAGTTCTACACCTTCACCATTGAGAGCATCTTGACTGGCTGCATCAGCGCTTGGTATGGCAACTGCTCGGCATCCGACCTCAAGGCGCTACAGAGGGTAGTGCGTATGGCCCAGTACATCACTGGAGCCGAGCTCCCTGCCATCCAGGACCTCTATACCAGGCAGTGTCAGAGGAAGGTCATAAAAATTGTCAAAGACTCCAGCCACCCAAGTCATAGACTGTTCACTCTGCTACCGCATGGCAAGCAGTACTGATGAACAAAGTAACAGGACCCTGAACTTCTAACCTCAAACCATAAGACTGCTAAATAGTTAGCAAAATAGCTACCCGGACTATCTGCCTTGACACTTTTTGCACAAACTTTTTTTGACTCATCACATACCCTGCTGCTACTGTTTATTATCTATCCTGTTGCCTGGTTACTTTATTCTTAGTTATATGTGAATGTCTGCCTCAATTGCCTCATGCAACCTGCACATGGACTCGGTGCTGGTGCCCCGTGTATATAGCCAAATTATTCTTACTCATTGTGTATTTATTATTCATTTTATTATTACTTTTCTATTATTTATTTTCTTTCTCTCTGCATTGTTGGGAAGGGCCCGTAAGTAAGCATTTCACTGTTTGTTTACGAAGCATGTGACAAATAAAATTTGATTTGATAAGGAAATGTGGTATTAAACATTTCTCATTTAAGGTCCTCAGATCCCTTCAGTACTTGTCTACCTGATTGTGCCTGTTTGTTCAAACAGATGTCGACATCAACAAGGTCTCCTGTAGCTCAGTTGGTAGAGCATGGCGCTTGCAATGCCAGGGTTGTGGGTTCGATTCCCACGAGGGGCCAGTGTGAAAAATGTATGCACTCACTAACTGTAAGTCACTCTGGATAAGAGCATCTGCTAAAATGTAAAATGGCTACAATAGCACTATTATTCTTGGAAAATGAAGCATTGGGAAATGAACTTCACATCTGTTAATCATTGTAGTCTTTTGAAATTGGGTATTAAAGATATTGAAAGTGAATACACAGGGAGATTGGGGGAGCAGCTTGGAGACACTGTCCTGTCCATAGAGATAGTGTTACTTTACATTTTATGGCTCTGGCATGCAAACAGCTCATGGCCTGGAAGCTAGCCCAGTGACCTTGAAAAGGCACAGATAAATGTGTCAAAAAGCTTCAATTTGTGTGTTCCTCCACACCCTGCCAGCTAGCTATTCACCTTTTACTCTCTTTCTCACTCTCTGGCCATCTCTCTCTCTCTCTCTCTCCCTCTCTCTCCCCTCTCTCTCTCTCTCTCTCCCTCTCTTTCTCTCCCTCCCTCCCTCAGCCATGCCAATGCTTTAGATTGATTATTCATCATTCAGATTGAGTAACAAAACACACTCTGTCCTCCTCACCTATGGCAGATTCATAA